AAATAGAGAATTGGAAGAAGAGATTAGAAGAAAGGTTGGAGGACAAAAGGAGATCACACCAACTTGGAGAAACTGGTGCAGAAGACTGAAGGAAAAAGATATGGAGAAGATAAAAGGAAGAACAGAATAGAACCATACCCATAAAGCCACTTTCACACTCATAAAAACAATGAAGGAAAAAGAGAAAAAAATCAATGAAAAAGAAAAATAAACAGTCCACTTCCAGGATTCCAGGCTGTCTCACTAGTCGACAGCCTGTGGAAAGAGAGTCCTGAATTGTGCCTCTTTAACAGCAAGCCAGCAGTTGATTTATGGTGGAGTAGAAGATAATCTCAGCAGACCTACCTGAGACCAGACATGTTGGGTTCACAGCAGTCCAAGCAGTTTCCATGGATCTGCGCCCATCTGAGAGCTGCTAGATGCAGGCAGCAGCAATTCTGGGTTCTGAGCTCATCCAGCCCAACTCCAAGATGGCTCCCAGCTAATCTCTCTCTCCCCATGGGAGGACTAAGTCCTCTGCACTCACCAGTGCCTAGCCAGTGCCACCCTCCATGTCCATCACTAACCTCCACTGCCGCATCTCTTTGCAGAGGCCTCTGGGGTCACCAGCCATGACAGTCACAGTGACTGTGCATCCACAGGTTCAGATGGCTTCTCTCCCACAGGGAATTCCGTCTCAGGGTAAAGGCACCGCTGGCTACCACCTTTGTCTTTCTTGAAGTTTCTCTTTTTACTCTCTCTTTGGGCTTCAATTTGCACTTCAGATTCTCCCTGATCCTAGGGACCCACTTCCTCCCTTGTCTTCCTCATGATGCTAGCGTCTGGCTGGTGACTCTCAGAGAAGCTGTTTTCTCTGCTGCTTACCACTCTGCCATCTTGCTAGAAGTCCATTCAAAATCTCCAAGATCTGTCAAGATATTTAAACTCTTAAAAATTGTATTTGGCTACTCATTTCAAAATGGCAATCAAATATTTTAAAACATGCACATAACATGATTACTTTCAAAGATCCTTAGCTTTTGCATAGGTGTGGGAACTTGATTGAAAAGTCAAGGCCATAATAAAACCAACATAAGACATACAAAATTAACATAAGATATAAAATCTTTGCTATATAGGTAGATTATGTTTGAAATATTCTTTATATTAATGAATATTTATATATAGATAAAGGTAAACACAGTAAAACAAATATATATATGTATATATATGAACAAACATCAAAATTGTGAACTTTCCTAAGATTTTTTTTTACATATTTCATAGCTTTTCAGGCTCATTATTTTCATACCCATAACCTAAGACCAAACAAATCCTTTTCTGAACCAGGTATAGTGGCATAGGCCTATGATTTCAGCATTCTGGGAAGCTGAGACAAGATTGCAAATTCAACCCCATCTGAACAACTTAGCAAATTACTCTCTCTCAAAATAAAAAATACTAAGGGCTGGAGGCACAGCTCACTGCAAAGGCCCTAGGTTCAATCCTCAGTAACGCGCACGCACACATATACACACACACACACACACACACACACACACACACACACACACACATACACACACACACACACACTTCCTTTTCTGAGAAACTTCTGTTATTTTCCTTTCAGGTTTTGTTCTTCATGTGTATCTTTTCTACTCTGGCACAACCCAACCATTTCAATTTAGTGTATAAATATTCTTTTTCCCTTAACAATAACACAGTTTCTTACTTTGCATATAAAGTTGTACTTCATTAACATCATTATAGCAGAGTTTCATTTGATTATAACTTTTAACCAAAAGAACATCTATTTACATAATAAACCCCCATTTCATGAGATGGATCATTGTTAACTATCACATATTAGCATTTTAGATTAGCAGAACATATGAAGATACATTGTACAGTTTTGTACAAACACATCCTGTATGCAAATTTTCAAAATTATGTGAACATATTCATTCAAAAATGAACATGTTCAAAAACAGACTCAAAGATATAACTTCTCTGTAGCATTTAAAAAATTAGAAACAAAAGTACATAAGCTCAAAATTATGCTTAGTAGTCAATGTTTCAGAATTCCCTCTTAGAAACGATCCAGGCATCTGCTGCAGTTTATACATCAAGTACCCTCAAGGATTTGTATAATACAGCCTCAGTCCCAAGTGACACTATGGGGAAGCAGGAAAACCTTCAGGAGATCGAGTCCTATGGAAAGCCCTTAGACCATTGGGAATGTGCCCTCATGAGCAATGATGGGCCCAGGGAGTCTTCCTCTGTTTCTTCTCTTTCCTGCCTTATGAAGTAAGTGGTTTGCTCTGCTACACACTCACTATTATTGCCATCTAGCTCTCCCATCAAAGGCCCAAAGCAATGGATCTACCTAGTCTTGGACTGGAACTTCCAAAACCATGAGTCATATTTTCTCTTATAAGTTAATTGTCACAGGCATTCTGTTATAGTTACATGAAGCTAACTAATACTGCAATGGCAAGCAGAAACATCAAAACAACATCCAGGATTTGGAGGCAGACTGATCGGGATCATTCCCAAAATAAGCCCTAGCCCACCAGAGAACAGGGCCTGGGCTTACATGGGATAAGCAAGCAGGAAGTACAGAGGCAAAATTGCTCGTCAGTTGGGCATTATAGTGACCAGCTATGCATCAGAGTGACCACTCATTTCTAAGAAACAAAAGTAACAGGAACTGTAACCAGAACTATTACCTGGGCAAATACAAACTGAAGTATACTGGCTGGGGTGGGCGATCTTCTCTACAATACAGCATCCAATTAACAGCCCATTAACTAAATTTAGTATCAGTCCAAGGATTTAGGATACTCAAAGATCTTAGAGATATGGGATAAATATCCCAACTTGCATATTATAAAACATAATTATTGTTGTATGCTCAGATTAATCTACTTACTTGTACAAATTTAGCTATTTCATAATCTTAAACATTAAATAGAAGTAATGCTAACATATTTAATCAATGAATCTACAGAATCTAGAAATAATATAACCAAGAAGCATTATAATCAATGCTGATAAACTAAAGAAATTGGTTTTATTCAACCACATAGTTGTGTTTATTAAATCTTTTCTTTCTTGCCTTTGGTTTTGTTTTCGTTTTTTGAGATAGAATTTCACTATGCAGTTCAGGCTGTCCTTGAAATCAATGTGTAGCCCAGGCTGGCCTTGAACTCACTGTGATCCTAAGCCTCCTGAGGGCTGAGATTATACGTGTGCACCACCATACCTGACCATTTATTATTTATTAAATAATAAATTGGTTCATTTGGCAAATTTTTACCTAAATTCTGGGAATTTTTTGGAATATATAAATTTATATGACTGCTTATTTTTATTTTATAAACCAAAAAAATAAATTTGTTTAGGTCTGGCACGGTGATGCACATTTGTAATCCCAGCAATCAGGAGGCTGAGGCAGAAGAATCATCATAAATTCAAGGCCAGCCTGGGTTATATAATAAGTTATGTTTTGTTTCAGTTTTTTGATACAGGGCTCATTCTGTAATTCAGGTTGGCCTAGAACTCACCATGTAGTCCAGGATGACCTTAAGCTTGTGGTGATTTTTCTATCTCAGCCTACTGAGTGCTGGGAATACTTATATGTACCACCATCCCCATCCTACATAGTCAGTTCAAGGCCAGCCTGAACTAGGTAGCGAGACCCTATCTCAAGGAAGAAAAAGAAGAAAATAAAATGAACTCCTTTAATCTTATAAAAACCTTCTTGAGCATTCCCTCTAAGCAGCTCATTGAGCAATCATTTCACATTTTAAAAATAGATATCATTTTTAGAGCAATTTTTGGTGTACATAAAAATTTTGCAGCAAATAGTTTCCACAAATTGCCTTTTTTCTGCTCTTTCTCCCTCAAATGTTTCTCCGATTAGCATCTTGTTTTGGGATGGTCATTTGTCTCAACAGTTGAACCAATATGAATACATTATTATTCACCCAAGTCTACAGTTTACATTAATATTCACTCTTTGTGCTGCACATCCTATGGATTTTGACAAATATATAGGTCGTATGCCCACCACCACAGTATCATGCATAATAGTATGTCCCAAAATGCCCTGTGGTTTACCTCTTCAACCTTCTCCTTCTACCAAACCCTTGGAAATCACTGATTTCTTTTTCTGTGCCAGGAATTGAACTTGGGACCTCGTACTTGCCAGGCAGGAGCTGCCCCGCTGAGCTATATTCCCAGCCCCAAACATGAGTTATTTTATGATCTCTAAAGTTTTGTCTTTCCCAGGATATGGTATTAATTGCATTCACATGATATGTAACCTTTTCAGATTGCCCACTTTCACTTAGGAATATGCACCCACCCCTCCCACCCTGCTCTGTCTTTTTCATAGACACATTACCAAGAGAAAAGCATACAGAATGACTTAACACAGAAGCTGACTGAGCTCAGTTGAGCTGGGTATGGCCAATCAGATTTCTTAATGTCCAAAGACTCAGCTCCTTTCCTTGGGCATGGAAGTCTTCCTCCTCTTTGCCCCAAGGAGACTTGATGAGACACAGGAGCTTTCAGATGTAAGGACCCAGAGACCCAAGGAAAACTACTTCTAGAGACAGAGGAGCAGAAGCAGGACTGGAGAACACTAGGCTGTAAGATAATGACAGCTGACTAGAAGTTGTTAGCAAGGTCCACCTGGTCATTTTTTTCTTGGCCTCTCCAGGTGACTTGTCTTTCTTTGGGCATAGAGTAGGACACCTGTCACATGTCCGTATTCAGAGGAATAGGGAAGGAGAAGGACAGGGAGAAACCTCCAGCCTCTGCAGTTGTCTTAATTTTCTCCAGTGTAAAATGCTCTGGAATCCACTGCACCATATTTTGGGTGTCGTAGTTTGAGCTCTGACAGAGCTGACAAGCCTCCAGGGGACATTTTGAACTTCAGATTTCTCAACTGGGGAAACTTTCCTGGGGCTGCATCCAAAGGGGTCAGTGCTGTCTGTTTCCTGCCCCCACAGGTGACAGGTCAGGAAGGAGACCCTCGAGCAAGCAGGCTCCCAAAGCTGAAGGTCCAGCAGGCCGGCGTGGAGCCCAGCCTGGCCAGCAGGAGCGGGACCCCGGCAGGCCAAGGCCCGGGTCCCCCCGGAGAAAGCAGACAGAATGCAGGAACCGACTCGAGGAGCTGCAGAGACAGGAGCAGAGCCGTGCTTCAGGGACTGGCAAGGCCAGGAGGGAGAGAGACGGGAGGGCTTCCCTCAAGAAGCAGAGAGAACCCCCAAAGAAGGACAAAGAGGTTCTGGGGAAGGAAGAGACAAGGAAGCAGCTGAAGAAACCCAGGTGTGGTATGCCTCAGATTCTGGGGTGCTTTCCCCTCTTCTGCTCATCGTGCCTCCTCTGTGAGGGGCTGAGGTCCGCCTTCTGTCAGAGGCAGCAGCTGCTCTTCTGCTTCCGTCCACCCACCTTTGCTACCGACCACCTCTTGGTACCCAGGCAGAGCTGGCTTAGGGTTCACAGGCATCATGGGTGGCGTGGTCACTGCCCACTCTTCAACTTCAACCAGCTCTGAGAGGGGAGGAGAGAGGCGTAGTGTGAGACAAGATCTCAAGGGCCCTGAGCTTCAGCTGGTGGCTTTGCTCATGCCCTTAGTTAGATGCTTCCCTGTTCCTCTCCACCTTCTGACTAACTGGGCCACCCATGAGAATTGCCTTCTGTTACCCATGTCGGCTGTCCTTGGCCAGTTTAAGCTAAGAGGCTAGAAGATACATGTGGCCTTAACGATTTAGAAGTTGAATGTGTCGTTAAGGGGTCCCCGGTGTCCTGTTCATTCTAACTGGCGTGCGGTCAGGATTCATGAGTGCTGCTTTGAGCTGAATGCCATGGCCAGGTGTGGAAGGATGAAAAGACTCAGCCCTGGTTCCCCAGATGCCGAGGATCTAGCAGGGAAGATGAGACAGAGGCGTCAATTAAGATAGGCAGAAAGCAGTGTGTACACAAGACAGGATGTGCTGGCCATGCCACAGAGCACTGGGGCATCAGGATTCCTGCCCAGGGAAGGGGAGATTTCAGTGAGTGCTGGAAGAGCAGGCGAAATCTGAAAAGGCCCCACAAGGAACTCCTTATGCAGAGGCCACACTGTTCTCACAGGAAGCATGTAAGAGGCCCCTGAGTTCTAGGTCTTCTAACACTCAAGAGCAGGTGAGACTGCTTGCCTGCGCCTCTGGGGTTAATCACAAACTGAAACTCACAAAGCTGCTGCAAACTGGTCTTCAAACTTCACTGTCAGCCGCACTCACACCCTCATTCCTCCCTTTGTGAAGCTTTCTAAGGCTGCCCTGGGATAGATTTCTCGCCCTCTCCACCTGCCCCACAAGCTGCTGTCTGGCTCAGCTGAGAATCACTTTCTTTACCAGAAGGACTGTGCAGGACACACACAGTACCTTGGATCTTGTAGCAACTAAGTACAGAGTATGCAGGAGATGGGAAGGATGCTGCTTGGGAATTTCTCTCTGGAAGCTGTCTATGGCTGTGCTGTCCAATAAGGTGACCACAGCTCACATGTGGCTGCTGAGCACTTGAAACATGGCCAGTGTCACTGAGAAACTGAATTCCCAATTTAATTTAATATAATTTTGATTTGATTTTAAGACATAAGAGGTAGTGAAACTAACAGATTTTTGTGTGTGTGTGTCTTTCTCATTTTTATCGGTACTGGGGATCGAACTCATGACTGCCTGCTTGCAAGGCAGGCACTCATGCCGCTGAGCTAAATCCCCAGCCCCCAATCTAACAGATTTTTTTAACAAATGTTTTTGTTTGTTTGTTTTTTGTCTTTCTGAGACAGGGTTTCACTACGCAGTTCAGACTGGCCTTGAACTCACTTCAGAGCTCAGACTGGCCTCAAACTCATAGTAATCCTCTTGCCTCAGCTTCCCAAGTGCTGGGATTACAGGCATGTGCCACCATGCCTGGTGAACAGATGCAGTTGAAAAACTTATTTGATCTCTCTTTGAAGCCAAAGTATCTTTTCTACAAAAAGGATGAATTAGCTTTGAAAGGAAAGATGCAAATATTTCTTTAAAATGACATTTTGTCACTTGTTTAAGTTATTGAAAAACTTTTAAATATGTCTGAAACAACTTGGATATGTGACTTCAGTTTTTTTGGCTCTAAGTTTGTGAAATCCAAATACAGATCAAACACATTCAATGGAAATCTGAATAAACATGCAACATGAGTACAAACTGAATAACAGATTTTTAAACTAGTATGAAAGACTATAAAACAACTCAATAATTTTATATGAAGTGAATGTTCAAATAATCTTATATGTTAGATTAAATAAAATGTATTGTTAACGTTCATTTTATCCATTTCTTTTACCACTTTAACATGACTACTTGAAAAGTACAAGTAGCTTACATTCTACTTCTCCTAAACAGCAAGCCCTATGGGGAGAAGTTAAAGAACTCAAATTTGGGAGACAGCCCTGAGGTACACTGGGCCACAGGAGAGAATTGATGGTCTCCTCTGATAACCAGAGTTGTCTCGGGGAGGCTCAGTCACCCACATGCATGTCAGGAGTGTGCCTCGCCATCCTGCCCACCGCCTTGCCATCTCTCCTCTGACTCTGCCCCAGGTCATCGTCATCCTTGGCCTCCAGTACCTCTGCAGGGGAGTCCATGTCTGAGGAGGAGCTGGCCCAGATCCTAGAGCAGGTGGAAGAAAAAAAGAAGCTCATCAACACCGTGCGGAACAAGCCCTGGCCCATGGCCAAGAAGCTGACTGAGCTCAGGTGAGCTGGGGGTGACCACTCAGGTTTATTAATGTCCACCAGGCTCAGCTCCTTCTCTTGGGAATGGAAGTCTCTTCCTCCTCTTTGCTCCAAGAAGACTTGGTAAGAAGAGGGATTCAGCTTTTCATCTGCCCCAGTGAAACCACAGAAAGGGGAGGAGGTGCATTTTAGGACCCAGGACTCCTTGAGACTGGCCAGCCGCAGGCAAGGAAGAGAGAGAAGTCCTGTGTCCAGCCCTCCTGTAGCCTGACTGCCCTTCCACCCGTGCCCTGCATCACTTGGTGGTCCTGTGCGGTCCTGTGCCTCCTTCATGACTGACTCTCCCCCTCCCCCTCCCCCTCCTCTCTGTCTGTCTCTCTCTCTCTCTCTCTCTCTCTCTCTCTCTCTCTCTCTCTCTCTCTCTCTCCCTCCTTCTATAAACACCCAGAATCTCTGCGTGTGTAATTCACTCTCACTTGCGGTAAAAGAAGTTCAGTGTTCACTACTTGCTCATCCCTAATGCAAGACCACTCTTGGGCTGGTGCTCCTCAAGTACAGCTGTAGTAATGACCTGTGCCACTTGTGTTTTCTCTTCAGCTGCCTCTCTGATTTCCAGATGAAAGCTGCACACCAAGCTTTTGAGCACTCTTGCTGCACTTTTGAGAAAGAAACAGAAGTCACAGTGCATAACTTGGTTTTCTACTGAAAATTTCCACCCAACACATTTCCCCAAACCCCTGCTCTATTTTTCTGCCACTGCCTTGGGGGTTTGTCAATGTGAAATCCATTTTGGGGGCTTCTCTCACACACAGCCCCCACCACCACATTTATTCATAGTCAACTCCTCCCCGCTTCCTTTTTTTTTTTTGTACTGGGAATCTAACTCATGACACTTGCCATGAAGGTACTGTGCCCCTTAGCTATATCCCTGGCCTCCTCATCCTTTTAAGGGGCATGATTTGGCAGTCATGTTTCGACTCTATGCACCCAAGAGACATAGCAAAGATTCCAACCAAGTGTCACAGAACTATCAAGTAGTTTGCAGTAAGGTAAGTGGGCCAGCCAGGGTTTGAACTCAGCAACACAGTGCAGACACTGCCACGCATTCTGCCTTTATGGCTCTGGGATTGGTGCACAGACCCCTACACAGCTGCAAAAGGATGCATACTTTATTTATACTAAGGAACTGAACTTTTAAAATTTAAATGTGTTTAGATTAAGAACAATATAGTAACAATATTAATATATTGTGGACTTGAAAAATCACTCAAGTTGATATTAGGAGTTCTTGCTGCAAAAAAATGCTAAGTGAGAAAATGTATCTATTAATCAGCTTGATTTAGCCACTCCACAATATGTATAATTATCAAAACATCATGTGTATTTTAAGAACTGTATATACATTTTTATTTGTCAAGGCAACAATTAAAAATAATTTAGACCTGAAAATAGACCTGTGTGACTCATAGCTACGGTTTGGACTATAGTTCAACATGGGTAGCAGAGGGCCTCTTCCCAGCCACCTTCCTCAGACTCCCTTCTCCCCTCTCCTCCCAGGCTGGCTTCTTCCTCCTGTCAGGGGCTGAATGGCCACCTGTCATACTCAGAGAACCTCACCTCACTCAGGTGTCACCTGATGCATCTTTTATTAACAATGGAAAAAGAGCAACCTGGATGCTTGTGGAAATGAGATCTCCAGCTGGCTGGAAGTCTCAGGGACCAAGACAGTTCCACCCAGAGCAGAAGCATACATCCCTTCTGGGCCTCTTAGAGGCAGGGTAGGCAGAGACCAAGGCTGAGAAGCTGAGCAAACTAGGTCTCTCCTGCTCAACGAGTCTCCTGGTTCAACAGTGGGTCTTTTCTCTCAGGCCTCCCTTCTCCCCTCCCCAAGATGCCTGTCCCAGGCCCAGGCCTAAGGCTTGCAGCCTCCAAGACTCTACACTAGTGAGTCCTTTGCCTAGAAAACCTCGGCTTCCTGACTAATTCTACACCCCTAGAAAGGCTCCAGCCAAGTACTCCCTCTGCAGGGAAGTTCCCAGCCCCCCCCCCCCTTGTACAGGCTGAGTTAGTCACTGTCCCACTGATCTCCAGGCACTGTCCCTTCCCCTGACTGGCATGCCTGTTTACAAGCTGCATCTTTTCCATCCTGTAATATTCTTCCTTTAATATCTAGCAACCTCTGCTGAGTGCTCCCCATTTTCAGTGATTCTCACAACCACCTTGCGATGTAGGTACTATTATTGTAGTGTCCCAATCTTCCTGATAAGACACTGAGTCACAGAACCATCACGTAATTTTCCCAAGGTCATGCAGCACATTCAGTGGCCCGGCTGGGACTTGAACTCAGGAACTCTAGTTCCAGGGCCTCTCCAAATTTACCAGACTTTCAAGAGCTCCTGTGCCTGCTAAATGACTTCTTTTGCAGGCAGCAAAGTCTTTGACTGCAAGTGCCATTCCCAGACTCCATTCTCCTTTTATGAAGCAATAACATGGGCCTCAGTCTCAGTCCCCACCGTGCAGCTGGCCAGTTTGAACATAGCTGTTGCATCACTTGTCTAAGAACGGCGAGGCCCCAAGAGCGACAGCAAGGAACTGGGCCCACCTGAGTCCAGGCCTCTGCCCCGTCCTCCCACGGGGCTCTGGCTGCCCCCTTAATCACCCTCAGCCTGGTTTCCTTCCCTTAACTTCTCTGACCTTCACACCCTCATTTGTTAAAGCGAAGATAACAATTATCTAAACTTTTTAAACTAGTTAACATATAATGAATAATTAGTAGTAATTATTACTAAAGTGTGACATATTTTGTTCCATTACACTGTGTTGCGCCCTGAGAGATGAAGTCAAGGAATAAAGATGAATTGGAGAAGCACATGGACATTGTTAATAACAAGACAAGGCAAGTGGTGACACTGGCATCAGGGTTCTAGGAGCCATGCGTCAGGACATTGCTTTAATTATGGAATTAGTCAGATGGGTCCTTCAGCTTGGTAAGAAGCTCAGTGTCCTAGAAAATTATCCAAACTGCCTGCTTTCTTTGGAGAGATCAGAAAGCTGCCTCTAAGAGGATGGAGTAGATGTGCTTTCTCCTCTTCTCTCCACGACAGCTAAGTCCCTGCAATTATATGAAGCAAACAAAAGAAGATTTAGAAAAATGAAGAGGACATAAATTGACAAAAGACCTCTGGACCAAGAATGACAGAACACTGGGTTCCCTAGCTTTGGTTTTTGTCTGATGTATCCCAGGCTGAGTGTTGGAGAAGCCAACAACCCAGAAACTCCAACATCCTAGCAGGTTGCAGATCTCGTCTGGGGCCGGAGGTCCTCACCCAGACTCCCTGACCGTGTGCAGGGCTCATCTGCTTCTCATACTTTCCATGTGGGTCCTCCAGAGGGACCCAGCAATCAAAGTTAAGAATTTCTCTGCTTCTAATTTCTCTGACTTTCCCCCCACCAGATGTCTCTCATTGTTCTGTCTTCCGCATCTGTTTTTAAGGGCTCATGCGATGACACTGTGTTCACCCAGATAATCAAAATATTCCCCCTATTTTAAAGTTAGCAATCTTAATTACACGCACGGAGTCCCTTTTGCCTCATTATAGCTTATCCACAGGTGTAACACCAAGGGGAAAAAGTCTCTGGGAGCAATGACAAAATTCTGCCTCCCACTAGCATCCGCCATACGCCAACCTTAGTGTCTGGACAAGTGTCATGAACAAAACAACATGCTTTGCTTTCGTAGAATGTTTATTTTAATTGAGGCTATAAAATGACCAAAACCTTTCAGCCATATGTAGCCCCTTCTAGTTTAGATTTTCACCAGTTAGTTGTTAATTATATATTTTTCCTGACCAGGGAGGCCCAGGCATTTGTGGAGAAGTACGAAGGAGCCCTAGGAAAGGGGAAAGGCAAGCGGCTCTATGCCTACAGGATGCTGATGGCTAAGGTGCGTGACTGGAGACAGCGTCCTGCTGGGAGGCCCCTCAGCCTGGGAGTGTGGGGAGCCCACCCTTCCTCACCATTTGTGTCAGCTTCCCCCAGAATCCTGAAGGTGAGATCCAGCACGATACTCTACATCTTCCAGGAAAATCAATGGCATCCTGCCAATTATTGTATACTTATCTGTAGGGGCTTCAATATTAGAATTATTTCACCTCCAGAAAATAAACTCACAGAATTAATGATGCTAAATCCACTGAAATTTTATTTTCCAAGCCCCAAATCAGGATACATTGATTTGGTGGAGACCAAAAGGGATCAAATATAATCATTGTCTCATGGAAAATAAACTGTGATGTCCTTGGAGGGGTGGACATCTCTGTTTGTTATGTCATAACCTGGGCTTCTGATTCAGTTAGGGATAATTTCCTATGATGAGATACTTACTCTTGAACTTATTAAAATAGCCTTCCTTGGGATACTAACATGATACCAAAGTTCCCACTGATTTGAAAAACACTGTCATTCACCTAATTCTTGCAGTCATCCCCAGGCGGTTATCCTGAGCCATGATTTGATGCTTAGCTTAGCTTCTTTCTCACTCACTGATTTATTTATTCATAGCCTCTGGTAGCCACATTCTACTCTTGACTCCTATGAAATCAATTTTTAAATTTTTATTTATTTTTTGCAGTGCTAGTAATTGAATCCCAGGACCTCATGAATACCAAGCAGTACTACACCCCTAGCTTTGAGATAAACTTTTTGTATTCTACATATTATTGTGGAATTTTTTAACCCTTGATTTAATTTATTTTTTTTTTATCGGTACCAGGGATCGAACTCATGACCGCCTGCTTGCAAGGCAGGCGCTTATGCCGCTGAGCTAAATCCCCAGCCCCAAGCTGCCAGTTTTGAGTAGACTTTCTTTCTCATAATAAGAATTCAGCATTGGGCCAGGGATTTAGCTCAGCAGCATAAGTGCCTGGCAAGTGCAAGGTCATGAGTTCGATCCCCAGTACAAAAAAAAAAAAAAAAGGAGGAGAGTTTATTTTTGAGACAGAGTCTCACTAAATATCACTAAATAGTGCAGGTTGGCCTTGAACTCACTTATGTAGCCCAGGCTGGCCTCAAATTCACAATGATCCTCCTGCCTCAGCCTCCCAAGTGCTGGGGTTACAGGAATGCACCTGGCTGTGGCACATTATTTTTAACTTCATAGACACAGTTGGTATTATACTATTTTATTTATGTTTTTTACATAAATTTCCATAAGATTGATCTGAATTTGTATGTATGTGTGTGCACATGGGTCCATGCATGCCATCTTGGCAGCTTTGTTATACTAGGGATGTACTTGATTTATGATATTAAATAGATGAATAGCAGGACTTTCATCTTATGCAGTGTGTTAGTTTATGGAACATGAATATTCATTTTTTTCAAGTTCCATCTTTAGAGAATAACAATAATATTTTTATGTGGATCCCTCTTTATTGGTGTATTCAAGCTTCAATTTTTGGGGGAGCCCATCTTGATAATTTATATTCTTCTCCCAACCTGACTATTCCATTAAAAATTTCCTATGCATTTATAGATTGTGACATACAGCAGTGCAATAAGTTTATAATTAGTCTGTATATTTGAATCTTTTTATTCTTAAAATTACTTTCGCCTTTTTCAGTTGTAAATGTCTGACGATGACCCAGGGGTCTCTTTAATGTTGTCTATAAAATACCATTTAACAACTGCACATTCAGATTTTCTTTTCCAGCTGAGGAATATGGTCTTTGGTGCTATCTTTTTCTGCAACAAACACCTTTCCATCCATATCTTAGATCTGTGTTTTTGAATTTCAGCAGAACAATTCTAAAACAACTACTGTTCCTAAGCATGTATATTTTAAATTTCAATACACGTCTCCAGATTATTTTCCTAATTTGTAGCCACTCATACACAAATGAACAGAATCTGAGAATGATTTATCCTCTTTTTTTAAAATTTTATTTAAGGAGAAAAAGGATTTATCCTCTTTAGTTGTGTATATTGTTGTCTCTTAAACTGTGTGCTAAGCTAATGGATAACAAATACATTATTACTCTTCCTTTAAATTGCATTCACATGCCTATAATCCCAGCATTTGGGAGGCTGAGGCAGGAGGATTGCTGTGAGTTCCAGGCCAATCTGAACTACACAGTGAGTGCAGGCCAGCCTGAATTACAAAGCAAGACCTTGTCTACATAAATAAACAAATTGCATTCACTTTTTTCAGTGTGGTAAGAACATCCAATTTGAGTTCTACCCTCTTCGCAAAATTTTGAGCACACAATAGAGTATTGTTAAGTTAGAGGCATGTGTCCCAAGCTCCAAATGCATATACCTTTTACAAATGAAGTTGTTTGTTCATGTTTCTACCAACTATGTTTAGTTTTCCTCTTGGGAAAAGGATCGCTGCCCATCATCTGGTCTCCATATTTACCTTCCCCGCTGTTTTAATTCCTTGCTTCCTAAATCTGTACAGTTTCAGAAATTCCCAGTACCACTTAATCCATTTTCCTGTGTTAGTTATAGTCGTTACTGTGTCAAATATTTCTTTTTCATTCTATTCCTGAATTCTTTGCTTCCTGTGATCCTTCCACACCTCCCCTATATTATCTTTACAATCGCAAATGGTCATCCTTTCTTCAGAAAGCAGGTTTCTCACATCCTACTGAGAATGCTGAACGGCCTCCTAGATGTTATGTAGCCTACATAACAAGGAATGTTTTCCACAAATTTCCTTGTTTTACAATAATTTCCCAGGTCTCCCTGATTGTTTTCATTTTAGCCACCCAGATTCAGATTTCTGCACAGACAGGACATGTAACCTGCAAGGGGGTCCTGTGTGACCACTACTGGAAACCTTTTTCCTATGTCTACCTGCAGAGCCAGAGAACATGACCTAGCCCCAGGCCAGCAGTTCCCATCACATGTAGCCCAGAGGAAGAAACTCTGGGTCTTTGGCCCTTACCCAGCCCAATTTTTTAGCTCTCTAGACCAATGAAGGATAAGAGCTTCACTGCGCAGCCTCTCTCCACCCCTGCCCCAGTCCCTCATTTTCAGTCCAGGATGCCCACAGCCTCGAGGGACTGTCAGATGGTTCCCACGGCTCTGCCAGCAGAGACCTCACTTGGCCATGTTCATTACTCCTACTGGTCCTCCATTTTTCAAGCCTACATTTTATACTGATTTTATCAGCAACCTGACAAGAGATCTATCTCTCTGGGGAGGACTTGCATTAATAAAACTTATGAGACAGATATATAAAACCAGCTACTAGATTACTGATTGACAAAGAGAAATTACTGGTGCAAGAGCTGTAAAATACAAAGTCCACAGCAGCAGTGCCTTTTATTTGAATTTCAAAATCTAGTTAGTTACATGGGCAGCTATACCTTCATCCAAACTCCAAGCTATTAATTTACAATGAAAGGCACTACCATAGAACCAAGATACACACAGCCCAAATTACCAGCAAGTGCTCTCTTTATGGGCAAACCGATGTAGAAAGCCAAATAGACCAGAGATTACTTCTGAGCACAAAATCAGAATTAGACAAAGAGGATGAAGCCACGGGGCTGGAACAGCTGGAGTCTGTCATTTGCCTCTCTGCACATCCTTTCAGATCTTTGCAATTGTTATCATCTAGACTTTTGCTTATGGACCCTTCTTTTCCATCTGTGACCATCCATGTCTCTGATAAATGGTTTTTGAGATAGTTCAGACACTGAAATAAAATGCAAGGAAGCAAGAAAATTTAGGAGCAAAGGCTTTATTTCAGGCCTGGCAACGCAGCCCCTCAGGATTGATCCAGAGACTGCATGCCTTACAGACTAGGAGTGGGGTTTTTAAAGCTAAAAAACCGCAAGGCTGCTGACCTATCTCTGAAAACATCTGGAACCTTTGATACATTCCATTGCACTCTGCGATTAAACATTCTCTCGGAACAGCACATGCAGAAACATGCAGAAGGAGGGTTGGGGGGGATTTACAAGAAGCTGAAACTTAAGTTTTTACAGGAAATAGAAATTTAACCCTATTGAAACAGCATATACAGAACAAGACGGAGGCACATTGGTTAGAGTTAGGCCATAACTGTTTTCTTCTCTCTTCTTCCTATATTTATAAAATCATATTTGGAAACCTTTCTCTTTCCTTCACACAAACCTTTCATCCTTTACTGACTTTACAAGGGAAAATCTCATTTCCTTCCTGAATAATTTTTAGCAGATCTTTTAAAAATAGAAACTGATCTTAGAATGTGCTGTCTACCACCTCTTTGCCTGCTATTTTCCATGAGTCTCACTTAAAATTTCAAATGGATTAATTTCCAGGGGGTGGGATGAGTGGAGAGCATACCCTGGGAAAGCTGACCAAACAGCACTTAGCCAGCCGACCAACAGCTGCTCGGGTTTCTGGTTGCCACAAACCCCAGATGTTGAATTGGAGCTAAACCCATGTGTGTTAGGTCATCTTCCTATCACTATAACAATACTTGAACTAATCAAAGTATTATTTTAGCTTACAATTTTGGAGGTTCCGGTCCATGAATGGTTAGCCTCATTGCTTTGGGCCTGTGGGGAGGCAGCACATCATGGTGAGATCACATGGTAGAGAAAAAGCATTTGTCTCCTGGCTGAGGTACAGAAAGAGAGGCACAGCAGAAGGGGATGGTCTCACTATGTCCCCTGAGGAAATGGCTCAATCACTGGATACCCTTCTGCTGGGCTCTACTGCTTAAAGGTTCTGTCACTTCCCAATAGTGGCACTGTAGAGAACTAGCCTTTAGTATGCGATTCTTTGGGGGGACAGTTCAACTCCAAACCACAACACCTTTGGTGGGGAAACAATGCCTTCCTGACTCCTTCCAGAAAAGTAAGGTTATTGTTGCCCCCAGAAAATGGGTAGCCCGGAGCTGAGAACCTATAGCAGTTCCACCAGCCTCACAGTTTAGTGTCAGTTCCTATTAAGGATAGATGCTTGGCTGTCTGTCAAATGTGCATTTGAGAATTGTGAGATATCTTTTTCCCTTGAGATTTGTGTTAAGAAGGAAAAATGTTGTATCAGAGATTGCTAACCCTGTTAAATCTCCCAAACCAGAAACTGTACACAGAATTTCTAAAATCACATATAAACTTCCCAAATCTGAGACTTTATCAGCATGATAAAGGAATAGAGTGTTGCCATTGTCCCAGCTTCTCTCTCACTCCATCGGTAACTTTGGGAAAGCAAAGTATTGGCACCTTGGCCCCTGGCAGGCTGGGCTCAGATCCCAGGAGACAAGGACCCCCAGAGGGCAGTCTCACCACCCACCTGTCAACCTCACACTGATGCTGCAACAGTGAAGTGCACTATACTGTGCTCCTCATGACATGTTAATAACTGAGGGTTTTGCGGGTTTCATTTCAGAAATGGGTCAAGTTTAAGAGAGATTTCGATAATTTTAAGACTCAGTGTATTCCCTGGGAAATGAAGATCAAAGACATTGAAAGTAAGTATTTTGGTGTCACAGTTTTTCAGCTGGCTTCCGAAGAGTCTCCCAAGGGCTTGTATTGTTTTCTTGACCTTATGATTTGATTATTTGACAGTTTCTGTTATATTAGGAGGAAGAAGAATAAGGAGAAGAAGGGGAAAAAGGAGGAGGAGAGGAAAGGGGGAAAGAGGGGGATGAGTTTAGGGTTAGCAAGACAATGTGGCTTCTTCGTCTTCTGGTTGCAGAGACTTAGGCAGTTGGTTAATCCCACAGAGACTAGGGTTATTTATCAGCACATTGGTTCCTCAGACTAATGTGAAAATGCTGTGGCTCAGAAACACAATTCTCAAGTGTCAATTTCCTCCATCTGCACAAGTAAACCCTCCCTCTTTTCTCTCTCCAGGTCACTTTGGTTCTTCAGTGGCATCATACTTCATCTTTCTACGATGGATGTATGGAGTTAACTTGGTTCTTTTTGGCTTAATATTTGGTCTAGTCATAATTCCAGAGGTAAAAATGTTTTTCAAAAACACCTTTCTATTTCTTTGTGTGGTGCTGAGGCTTACCAAGGCCTTTGTATTATACAAATACTGCCTGTTTTCCAAAAAAAAAAGTCATTAACTTTAAATTTTATATACTTATATCAACAACCCAGATGGTTCAGTAAATTCTTTTTCCATTCAGTAAAAAGAATGGAACTAAAATACTTATGTTTCTATTTAAAAATGGCCACTACATTTTCTGACCTTTCATTTTACCTTAAGGTTCCTGAGAATTAATAATATCACAGTGGGTTTTTTCTTTCATACACCCCAAAGAGAAACAGACAAAACTAAACAATGAAGGAGCAAAATGTAAGGAAAAACAATGGAATGATTATCATAAAATAAACCTCATCATGGTTGCATCTCAGGTAGAAGAGGCATGTGAGTGTGGCAGGGCTGACCCAGGGTGTCCCACAGCCCTGGTGACTTTCTGTTTCTTATGCTAGCCTGTGGACACACACTAATTAATTTCCTTTTCATTATGATCAGCTGTACAGAGATGTTATATAGGCTATTTCATGTGCAACATGTTTTCCAATGAGAATTTCAATTAAAACAAAAGAAACAGTGAAATTACCAAAATGATAAGTTAACAAATTAAAAAAACTAAAAATAATGATACATTAAATTGTGAAATATTAACTAATGTCTGTGCTACAGAATTTAGGGGCTGGGGATTTAGCTCAGTGGCATAAGTGCCTGCCTTGTAAGCAGGCAGTCATGAGTTCGATCCCTGGTACCGATAAAAAAAAAAAAAAGAATTTACAAGCAGGAGGACAGAGCAGGGGAGGGGGAAAGGGGAAGTAAAAGCGATCAAAATGTGATATGTACATGTATCGCTTCCCCAAGATGGATGTAATTATTATGCATCACAAACATATACTCATAAAACTTTTTAAATGTCGTTAACTGAAAAAAAGTACAAGCAATATGTTCTTACTACTTTTCAGTATTAGTTTGAAATTTTTATCTCAGGCAGTAAGTCAGGAAAATTAACTATCATATATTTTATACAAAAAAATTTTTAGTTTGCAAGTGATATGATTGAAAACCCCCCCACACACACACACAAAGAAGTGTAGTTTTCTACCAGAAACTAATTGGCCATTAGTTACTGGAGCTGGGAATTAAACACAGGGTTTTATGCATGATATATAAGCACTTGACTACTGAGGTACAGTTCCAGCCTCCAAACTACAGAATTTAATGAAAGAGCATATTCAAATTGCTAGATGACTCACTTTAAGCAGATGAACAGCAGCAATTCTCCCATTTTTTTTTTTGTACCAGGAATTGAACTCAGGACCTCACACTTGCCAAGCAGGTATTAAACTTAAATTATTTAAAATACTCTTCTATACTTCTTCACATTTTCTTTTTTTTTCTAATTTTTATTTTGAAGGTAGTAAAATACAACAGAACAAGATAGAATAAAGCCAGCTGAGACAGTGCAGTGAAATTGGTACAGAACTTCATAGCAGGTTACTGGGATAACAGTAATAGGTATCACAGTATATCTTATTATTTTCACAATAGTATAGTTGTTCTTTCAATCATGTATATCAAAATAAAATGAAATACAGAACATTATAGAACTTATCAAAACAAAATATTGAATAGAGCAGTACCATTAATCAGAATAGAGCAAAACAGTAATAAAAATATTTGCCTTCAAAGAGATGGTAGAAGGAAATTCCCCTTATTTGCTATGGTCAACCTCCCAAGAGATGTTCAGATCTCTGGCTCCCATTTGCTGAAGGGGGGAAGGGAAGTAGGATATTTGACTCTCAGCCCGTGTACCAGTAGGCTCACTGTTGCTTAGCAGGGAGGCAGGCTGGTTGCTTGGTTTCCCAGCATCCTAAGTTCCAACATGGCGCAGATCTCAGGAGATGCTGGTGGTTCTCCCCTTTTTCACATTTTCTATAAATAAGTGTGTGTTACTTTGGTTTAAAGTTCTTAGTTTGTTTGTTTGGTTGGTTGGTTTCAGTACTGGGAATCAAAATCACAACTCACATTTGCCAGGCAGACACTACTGCTAAACTATATCCCTGGCCCAGTGTGTTACTTCTAAAGTCAGGGAAAGGATTAATATTATTTAAGGAACACAGAATGTCCTGTTCTGAGAGGGAAGGTGTTTAACCCAGTGCTTGCTTGTCTGTATGCATCCATAATTCCTCCATTTATACCTGTGTGGTTCTGTCCCCCTCCAGGTGCTGATGGGTGTGCCCTATGGAAGCATTCCCAGAAAGACTGTACCTCGGGCTGAGGAAGAAAAAGCCATGGACTTTTCTGTGCTTTGGGATTTTGAGGTACTATTGCTGACAGGCCATCACTTTTCCATCTTGTGATTCTCAGGTTTAAAGATGGAAAGGATGGGTGTGAAATACTGCATTTAATTACTGAAAAACCAGTGTTTAGTCAGGCGGAATCTCACCTTCAGGCAGTGCTTCCCTCACCCCTCTCACGTCTGCTTGGATGAATGCCCTCACTTTACCAGGACGACTCTCTGAGTCCTTGGCCTCTCTCATTTGTCCGGGCGGGGCTCCTAATATCTCTGTTGCCAAAGTCAATTTTCCAAAATCTGACCCTGCCCTCTCCTACGTCAGATATCCATTGCTTCTCATTTCCAAGTGGAATTCAAATCAGGGTTCACCTCTGGGTTTAAAAGAACGGCTCACGTGACTTGGCTGCTCCCCATTTCTCCAATATTGTGTTTATCTAGTATTTTACACTGCAAAGCCCAAATATTATCAAGTTTGGGAAAAATCCTGGAATGCATGTCACGCCCTATGTGCCTCCCTGTCCCTACTCATAGCCCTCTAGCGGGATCACTCCTGTTCCCTTTTCAAGTCCCCACCCTCCATGCCTCTGGTCTGTAGCTCCACAAGTTCCTGAAGTGAGGTGACAGGCTATGTACCCCGCAACAGATCACTGATCTCTCTCTCTCTCTCTCTCTCTCTCTCTCTCTCTCTCTCTCTCTGCCTCTCTCTCTTTGTTTTGTTTTGCTTTGCTTTGCTTTGTTTTGTTTGTTAAGGCAGAGCCTCATTATCTAGTTTGGGCTAGCCTTGAACTATGTAGTCCAGACTGGCCTCGAACTCACAGCCTTCATCCTGCCTCAGTTTCCCAAGTGCTGGATTACAGGCGTGCTCCACTACACCTGGTGTCCTTCACTCTTAAAGTTTGACTTCCCCCAAAACTATGTGACTGGGAATTGGAATGTTCTGTGAATTTCCCAGGGAGAAATAATAGAATCATCTGTCTCTGAACTGGGAAGGCACCAACAACCAAAGAATGACTTGGGCAGGGCCAGCTTGGCAAGCAAGTGAGTTTCTGAGGCCTCCTGATGACTTGTAGATCAGTGGACAGCTTATGGACAGCTGCACTACCAAAGCCACTGTCTTCCACTTACCCATTTACCCAGAGACCTAAGTTACACAGCAAAAACCAGGGGAGGATCCAGGGGAGGAATTAAGTGTTCACTTGCACCCTGGTCCCACTGTTACTGGAAATTCTCCTAATGTCCACACACCGTGATGTGTAGCTCTTTGGCTGCAGCCTGGCTCACAGCTCAGCACTGTCGAGGACCCCACAGGGCAGTTAATGGTGGCCCGCCACAAAAGATGCTGCTTGGCTGAGGATCAGAGGACTATCCCCCCTACATGGAGTAATTTTCCAAGTTATTTGGAACAAGAGAACCCAATTATACTACTAGTAGAGATTTCCTTTTTTCCTTAGTTCACCTAAGAATCTCTGTCAAAATATCCTGTCTACCAAAACTGAACTCACTCAACAATGAGCCCTTCCTTTGTATTTAATAAAGACATATGAAAAGTCAAGATAATATTCCAGCTAAAGATTTGCAAAAAAGTGTATTCTTTATAACCCAAAGCCAATGACACCTAAAAGCCAACAACAAAATAAGGGCAAAATTTGAATTTCAGGTTAGACCATAAACCTTACCATGTACAGTTTTATTTAGAAATATTAAAATTTTAAGTAAGTTTGAAAGGTCCCATCTACTTCTAGGACATTAAGACTCACAGGATAGGGATTAATAATATGGAGTAGGTGTGGCCACACACATACATGCATCCCTTATCCCTAATTTTATCCATGGTTAACAACCTTCTTCTCTCCCTGATATCTCCACCCATTCTATGTATGGAGAAATAAAGGGAAAGAGGAAGAGAACTGGATGGACCCTGGGCGGGTAAAAGGAGGAACAAGGGCATCTGAAACTCTTTCTTCCTCCCCTTAGACTCTGGTTAAAACATCAAGACAGAAATGCCAGGTAGAATGCAAGAAGTTCTGATGCCCATCTGCTCTGAGCTCATAAACCCAGAGCATTTGGATCTGCTATCCCACAGGGCTACATCAAGTATTCCGCTCTCTTCTATGGCTACTACAACAACCAGAGGACCATTGGGTGGCTGAGGTACAGGCTGCCCATGGCTTACTTTATGGTGGGGGTCAGCGTGTTTGGCTACAGCCTGATGATTGTCATTAGATCGTAAGTATGACATCTCATTTACAGGTTTTGACTTTTCTTTGCACAAATAACTCACTTCCCTAGCTCCTCTATGCCTACTTTCTTGTGGAGCAGTTAGAGAGAAAATAAGGAAGCAAATACACAAAACAAATGTGAGTTATAATATAGACATAAAGTCATGTGAAAAGCTCTAGAAAATAAGATAAAAATTTCTTTAGATTACAGGGGATTTAGCTCAGCAGCATAAGTGCCTGCCTGGCAAGCACAAGGTAATGAGTTCGATTCCCATTTTTAAAAAAATTTCTTTAGGCTGAGAACAGCCATGCTAAAAGTCTGACATGCAAAATTTTAGGAAAAGAGAAAACATGTACAAAGTAAATATCCTACTATTTTCCCCAAACTGTCAAAAGATCAGTGTGGCTTGAGAGGGGACATGGTACCTAATGAGGTAAGAGTGGGGGTTTTTACAGTCTGTTTCTTTACCCTAGAGCTCAGCTTCCTTGGGAAAACCACTCTGTAACCCTCACTTGCATGTTAGAACCATGCCTGGAACATATAAAGATGTAAGCATTAAACCTATGTGACTGTGATTAACCATGGCAGCTCTCTGACCCCAGCCTACCTATCCTCATACTCAGTAACGGCCTTTAATACATCTGTGCCACTTAATGTTCTTTGAAGACAAAAGTTGGCCCAGCCTATGAATTGCATTCTCAGGAGTCACAGAACCCCATCAGCAGGACTATGGGGTGGGGCAGGGAGAAGCAGTCTCCTGCACAAACCTGACCTCAGAGCCCACTCACCATTCCATGGAGACACAAGGGGTCATCTCCTAGGAGGGCATGGGTAGCTGAGTCTCAAGAACTGGAACAGAACATTCCTAGGCCTGATGAGAGCCCTGAGGAGGAAAGGGGAATCCTGCTCAGTCTTCTGCTGCATTGTCTCAGTAGAAAGTATGTTGTTCACAAGACCCTTCCCAGCATTCTAGGTGACTGCTATGTGATATCTGACCACCCACTTCTATCAAGCAAAAGGGACAAATCAAGGATACAAATTTGGTTTTGCTCCTAACCCTCATGTTATCATTTTCCTGATTTTTATCCTAAGGATACAGAGGGATGTAGAATGTTTCTGTGATGCACCAGAAAAGTTAAATCCTGTGGAACATCAAATTCAAATGTATAAGATAGAATTAGGGTGGAGCACAAACAGCCCATGGCCCAGCCTAGAATTCTGTAGTTCCTACAGGGCTGAACTCCAAGGAGTAGAGAGAGGCTGAGGACAGACAGGAATAAGAGTTGGGAACAAGGCAGGCCCAAGGTACTTTCAGCCAGGCTTGCATAAGAAAAGGGCATATAGTACCTGGTTATAGAACCAGTATCCTAAGAGGTTACTGGGTTTTGTATCAGGCAAAAGTATGTGCTATATCCAAGAAAAGAAATGACTTAGAAGGGCATATTTCCCTTGAAGGAGAATCCCCCAAAAGTTTTCAAACTGTATGGGCAGGTGAGTGAAGCCACAGGAAATCAAGGGCAAGGCCCAACATGGTCAGATGTGCTGTGTTCTCAGGAGTCACAAACCCCCATCAGCAGGGCTATGGGGTGGGGCAGGGTGGGACGTCTATTATCCAGTTGACACCATGTGCACTGAATTTGGGGGAAAAGGCACGCTGGCTAACAGCTACCTTGGCCCCAGTCCCTGCCTGGCTTCTTTCCCACCGAATGTCTGCTACCTGTTTTTCTGCTACCTGTGCTTAAGGCTGACTCAAGCCAAGGTCTCCTCAGGTGATGCAAACAGGTATAACAACAGTAATGTGTGCCCTCCAGGATGGCCAGCAATACCCAGGGGAGCACAAGTGAGGGTGAGAGTGATAACTTCACGTTCAGCTTCAAGATGTTCACCAGCTGGGACTACTTGATTGGGAATTCAGAAACAGCGGACAACAAATACGTCTCCATCACCACCAGTTTCAAGGTAGTCCAAGTGGGGAGGTTCTCATTTCATGAGAGATCTCTGGGTCCCTCCGGTTCCAGGAAACCTCTACCCACCTGAATCTGTGGCATGAGGTTTACACAGCTCTCAAGCACAAGCACAAGCATAAGCACAGCTCTCAAGTCTTCTAGAAAGACTGCCCGTGGCAGTACCCAGCTGTTTCTTATATGGCACAGACTCTTCAAGGCTGGGATCTGATCCTGTCTGTTTCCCATGAAATTGTTTTCTGTTAGAGGAAGTGGAAGGAGAAATTTAGGGCAACACCTGTCAACTTTTTCTGCATGCTAGAATCCCCTAAGGAGCTGTTAAACTCTCTTGTCCCCACCCCTGAGATTCTTATGTAATTGGTCTGGATTGGGATCCTGGCATTTTTTTAAAGCTCTCCAAGTGATCTAAATACCTAAGAAGAGTTGAGACCTTTGGTCTAAGGGTGTGGGAATTAAAGAATCAGCACTATAGTTCTTATCACCCACACACAATTATCCCATTAATTTGTTCACAAAAGAGATTGGAGGTGGGCCACAGCCCTCTTCATACAAACCAGACAGTAAGCAAATGAATAAAGACAGAAGCAGCTGTACTGGCACACTGCATGTAGTGCTCTTCCCCCTGAGACGTAAAAACCACTCCAAATGCTTGCTGGTTCAGTGTTTCTGCTGTCTGATCTATCAGACCCTTTCCCCCAAAACCTGGCAGAGGTCACATTTATGCCACAACTGCGATACTGTGAGCATCACGTGAGCTAATGTAACTTATTTCCTGATGAGTTAAACCTGAGCACAGACCAGTAACTAATCATTGGCTGGAAGTCCTCTCAAGTGCGTTGGTGTCTGGAGTTCCTCACTTCTCATCCTAGCTCTGTCTAGAGATCTACCAATGAATAACACGAGGATAATAAGCAAAAATCAATGTATTTTGTATAATAACAAAAAACAATTAGGAGGGGCTGGGGATTTAGCTCAGCGGCATAAGCACCTGCCTTGCAAGCAGACGGTTGTGAGTTCGATCCCTGGTACCGATAAAAATGAAAAAGACAAAAAAAAATAAAAGTTAGGAGATACTTCTTAAGTGGTATATACAGTAGCATCAAAAATATTACTTCTAGGAATGAATTTAGCACCTCCCTAAGTATGTAACAGAGCTGAAAGAAATTAAGAAACTAAATAAATGAGGAGACATACCATGCTCATGGGTTGGATTAGGAGTTGACAGACCATGGCCCTTGGCCAAATCCACTCTGCTGCATGCATTTGTAGGGAAAACTGTGTTAAAACAAAGCTGTGCCCAATTATTTATGCAATGTCTATGGTTGTTTTCATATAATAATGACATAGTTAAGTAGTTGCAAAAGAGACCATATGGCCAAAATATTTATTATCTAGATTTTTAAAGTTCAACTTTTTTTCTTTTTTTTTAGGCAGAGTCTTGCTATGTAGTCTAGGCTGGCCTTGAACTCACCGTGTACCCCTGGCTGGCCTTGAACTCACAGTTCCTGCCTCAGTCTCTCAAATGCTGAAATTACAGGTGTGCACCATCACACCCAGCTCAAAGGGCTTTTTTTAACCAGAAAAAGCAGGGCCTCGCACTTGTCAGGCAGGCTCTGCACAGTTGAGCTATATCCCCAGTCTCTAGACTTTTATAGGAAAGGTTTGATGAACTCTAGATTCGAGGGCTCAGCATTGTTAAGATTCAATTTGATTCTGCCTTATTAACTTCAAGCAGTTCTACACAGTTACTGAAGTCTCCTTGGACCTCAGTCTCTGTAATGGGAACGGCAGTGACTGCTGTATTGGTTTGCTGTTAGGGTTAAGAGGGATAATGCATGGAAAGTGTTTAGGACCACATTTGGCACATAGTAAGTGTTCAATAAATCTTACTTGCATAATGTAACAAAATAACAGTAACAAGAAAATATATTTTCTTAAGAAAATAAAAGCTAATTCTTAGGGCCAGGGGTTTAGCTCAGCAGCATAAGCACCTGCTTGGCAAATACAGGGTTGTGAGTTTGATCTCCGGTACCAAAATAAATAAATAAAAGCTAATTCTTTTAATTCTTCATAGTGTGCAGAACATTGTATCACCCCCTCTTTACCATTTATTTTTAAAATATAGAAATTAGCATTTCCTAGGATTTAGTACCCATGTTTTCAGTGGGGTCCTGGCCTGACATAATTACACCTTGTTTTTATACACAAAGGAATCCATAGTGGATGAACAAGAGAGTAACAAAGAAGAAAACATTCACCTGACGAGATTTCTTCGTGTCCTGGCCAACTTTCTCATCATCTGCTGCTTGTGCGGAAGTGGGTACCTCATTTACTTCGTGGTGAAGAGGTCCCAGGAGTTTTCCAAAATGCAGAATGTCACCTGGTACGAAAGGAATGAGGTGAGAAGGGTATCTCTGATGGACTGAACTTAGCTGTTCAGCATAATTACTGAATGTCTAAATCACTTGACTTTTTTGTTTGTTTCTTGTGGGACTGAAAATTAAGTACAAGGTATTCATACTGAGCTACATCCCCAGCCCTTTTTATTTTTTAATTTTGAGACACAGTTTCGTAAGTTGCCTAGGCAGGACTTAAATTGATCATCTTTCTGTCTCAGCCTCTTAGAGTGTGAGATTTCAAATATGTGGCCACTGTGTTCAGCTGGGACTTATTTTTAAAAGTGAAATCACATCAGTTTCAGTCAAGCAGCATGAACATCTTGCACAAAGAGTCGTTCCTTCTTAGGCACTAAGAGCTGACATTTGTAACTAGGTAAAGGTAGATTGTAATCAGCATGTCAATCACCTGGATAACCTAGTTGTTCTAACACCAGTCGTTTAAAAAGTGATCCTTTCCTCACAGCTGTGCAGTACTCTACTCTGTAAATCACATGGGGGTGCGATTCTGGGCCCTTTTCCTTCCATTTCTTTCTTTCTCTGCTCCTGTGCTAACAACACACTGATATATTGTGGCTTTCTAATATATCTTGACATCTGGTAGAGTGAGTTTGGCCACAGAGAGCCTCAATAAAATACATTTTAATGTGATTATGTTGAATTCATAAATCTCTTTTGGGAATTTGACAGCTGTGGTAGTTACAAAGCCTTCCTGCCCTTGTATACAGCCTGATTTTGTAGCTGTGCTCAGAAAGAGATGGCCCCAGGCTCCCTTTGCAGGAAGCCAGTGTCAGTCTGTAACAATACCACAGACTAACAAGAATTTATTTTCTCACTGGATGCTGGAAGTCCAAGGTCAAGGTGTTGACAAGTCTGATTTCTCCCAAGGCTCCTTTCCTTGACTTACAGATGGCGACCGTTCTCACTATACCCTTACACAGCCCTTTCTCTGTTCATGGCAGCCTTGATCTTTCTCTGTCTTCTTGTAAGGACTCCAGTCACTTCTTCTCCTTCTTCCAATCTTACTGCCTCTGGACCCCAGGCTTGTAACTTCACTGAACCTCAGTTACCTCTGTAAAGGCCCTATATTCACATATAATCTACACCAGGGCTGAGGCCTTCGACACAAGAACTAAAGGCGGAGGCACAGTTGAGCCCCTAAGAGCTGAGCTCCTGGACCAGGGTGTGTCTAGAGGAGGAAGCAGGGGAATCTTGTGAGTTGCCTCCCCAAACTGACCTGCACACACTCAATAACCTCTTACTCTTATGCCAGTTGTTTTCTAACAGACCAGAAAATGTTCATGCAACATTATTTCCTGAATTCTGCACATTCATAAGTTTGTACTTATACTTAAAAAATGTCTTATTAATCATGAAATCCTTCCTTGAGTGTCTTAAATGTAAACTTTATTTTCTTCTGGCATATAACATTTCTGTCAAAAAAATAGTGATTATTCCAAATTTTTTTGTACATAGGATCAAACTCAACTTCCCACTTGCTGGCCGGGGACTTAGGCTGCTGAGCCAAATTCCCAGCGAATATTCTAATTTTCTTTCCCTTATAAGTCACTTTTTCCCTTTTGCCTACATACCCAAAGGAGTTTCTTTTTTCTTTTTTAAAGCCCAGTAATTTTACTACAATATATCTTAGTGTGCTAGTCATTTTGAGTCAATATTCTCAGATATAGTGTGTTTTGTCCATTTTTTAAAAAAATTCTAGATGACTCACATCTTTTCAACTTAAGAAACAAATTATTGAATTGTGGTTTTAAATTTTTTTTTTATTCCACTGTTTGGGTTTTCTTCAAAAACTATATTTAACCTTGGGTTGGAGCTTCTTTGCCTACCTCCAATACATCTCATTTTGTCTCAAACTGTGTTAACCCCTTTCTTTATTCTTTAATTTTTTAAAAATTTTATTAAAAATCTTTTTCATTGCCAGAGATTTAGCTCAGTAGCATAAGCACCTGCCTTGCGAGCGCAAGGTCGTGAGTTCGATCCTGAATACCCAAAAAAAAAAAAAAAAACTTTTTTTCCTTTATTTTATCTCATTTATTTTAAAAATTCTCCACCTGTTCATATTTTGCTTCCCTTTTCATTATTATTTTGTTTTTTCTTGTGATCCCTTGGGTTACATTCTTCAATTTTAGTGATTTTCCACTTAATTTCTCCATTGTTAACTCTTGTCACCTCATTTATTTTTCTAATTTTTATTTGTATTTTTTATCTGTACCTCTTCTTAATACTGCCATGTAATTTTGGCTTTTGGCTTTTTAAAATGCAGTATAACTTTGAGTTTTTAAAAAAAAGTACTGCAGCAGGGCATGGTGCGCATGCCTGTAACTCCAGCACTTGGGAGGCTGAGGCAGAAGACTGCTGTGAGAGCCAGCCAGAACTGCATGATGAAACCCTGCCTCCAGAAGGCCAAGACAAAACAAAAAAGCCCTGCAGTGTAATTTTGAACTGTTTTATATCAAAAAAATTTTATTATGTTTTCATGCCTGAAAGTGTGTGTGTGTGTGTGTGTGTGTGAGTGTGTGTGTGTGTGTGTGTGTGTGTGTGTGTGTGTGTGTGTGTGTTGAGATAGAGTCTCGCTTTGTGCTGCAGGCTGTCCTTGAACTCACTTCATAGTAACCCAGGCTGGCCTCGAATTTGAAGTGATCCTCCTGCCTCAATCTCCTGAGCGCTGGGATTAGGAGCATGTGCCACCATGCCCAGCTCTAAAAGGATTTTATCTGCTCTGTATTCTCTTTTTCTTGGAACTTTGTATGGGACTTGACCTTGAAAATATTTTTCTAGGGGCTGGGGATTTAGCTCAGCGGCATAAGCACCTGCCTTGCAAGCAGGCAGTCGTGAGTTCGATCCTTGGTACCGATAAAAATGAAAAAGACAAAAAAAAATGAAAAAAAAAAAAAAAAGAAAGAAAATATTTTTCTACTCTTCATTTTTGTATCAGTTTCATTTTCCTGAGCTTTTAGCAAGGCATGGTCAGGAAAACTCTCCTAAATCAGCTGACCCCTCTTCGCCATGGTCTGTGATGTATTCTAAAAACATGGTGGCCTGCTTTCAGAGCGCTCCTGACTCTGACCCCTTCCCATCTCTTCTCTAGACTTTCTCTTGCCTTTCCGTTGTCCTCCTGCCTTCTTGGTCCCAGCTTTATTCCCAGAAGTCTCCCCTTAATCCTGGACCACGCTCTGCAGGGAGCATGGTAAATGTCAAGAGTCCAGGAGGTCCAGACTGTGTCAGCTCATTTTCAGATTAAGCCAGAATGACTTTGCACTCACCCAGCCTGGGCTATATGGTGAGTCCGAGGCTGGCCTGAACTACATGGTAGCCCTTGTTTCAAAACAACAAAAAGAACTCAGGGAGATTTAAAAAATCATGTTAAAAATCATCACTATCTTCACAGAACTCCAAGTTACCACTTTTACTGTGAAGCTATATCCATCGTTAGAAAGCTGTTTCCTCTTAGGAAAAGGTCCCATGGCTTCCCTGACTGCCTCGCCAGACACCCGTCATTCTTCCCCATCTTCACTAAGCTTCCTCTGCCCCTGCATTGTGTGTTTTGCTGAACACTCCCATCTCATGTGAATGATTTCAGGTCCAAGTTTAAATAGTGTGCCTTTATTTCTAGTGCATATTTTATGTACTATCCTTTCTAACATTTTTTATTTTTATAATGATTACCCAGTTACGTGTGTGTTAGCCAGCTTCTCGTTGCTATTATAAAATACCTGAGATAATCAACTTCTAAAGAGGAAAGAAATTTATTTTGGTTCATGGTTTTAGCAGTTCCAGTCCATAGGCATTTGACCCTATCAATGAGCCTGTGGTGAGGGTGAGCATCAAGGCAGAGAATGTCTGAGAGAGCAAGGCTGCTCACTGCAGGGGAACGGGAAGCTCAAAGAGAGGGAGGTGGGTGAGGACCCAAAGGCACCCTTCCAGTGACTCCCATGAGCTCCACTCCTAAAGGTGGCACCCACTCCTCATGGTGCCACAGGCTGGCAGCAAACCCTAGAGCACATGCCCTCCTTTGAGGAACAGCTCTGATTCAAGCCATAATGATACATCAATGTTTATGACTTTATGGAGGGAATGTGTATATGTGGAAGTTTTGTTTTTTATTTTGTTTTTTGGCTTTTTTTGTATCTCCAGAATTTAGTACACTCATAGTGCAAACTCAATAAATAAGAAATAGAGGGAGAACAAAGGAAAAAACTTGTTAACTGAATTCCCACCCTGGTTCTGACTCTGTATATGCATTATTCTACCCATGCATCATAGCATATCAGCATGGGAAGCACCATCATGCCTCACTTTTGCACGAAGTATCTGAGGCCTAGTTAGATTAAAACATACAGCTTGTTGGCAGCAGAGTCAGAATTTGGAATCAGGGCCTGTCTGGCTCCAAGTCTCTTTATGGTTCCTTATTCTTGATTGTATTACCTTACCCCAAACCCACCCTGGATAAATGTAGTTGAACATCAACTAGGGCATTCCTCCAGTAGACTGGAAGTCCCAGTGTAGATCCTGACTTGGTCAGAATGAGTTTAGGAGACAGGAAAGACAAGAACTCTGGGTGCCTCTTTACAGGGTAAGAAAAATGAGGTATAGACCCAGAGGCAGAAAATATCCCTTCCGTGAAGCCATCCCTGGGTCACTAAGCTGTGGGATAGTTACAAAAGATGCTGCAGATAGAGTCTGCCTTTAGGAGTACTGCAGTTTCTTTAGAAAGGATGGTTAACAAGAATGGTGTGGGGCTGGGGATTTAGCTCAGTGGCGTAAACACCTGCCTTGCAAGCAGGCAGTCTTGAGTTCGATCCCTGGTACCGATAAAAACGAAAAAAGACCAAAAAAAAAAAAGAAAAAAAAAAAAAAAAAAAAACAAGAATGGTGTCCATGAGAGCAGGGAAGTAGAGGAATTTTGTGGCATAGGCAGGAATTAGGCTGAGTACAATATTAGGAAAATATGAAAGAATGGCAGTGACTCCATGATGGCTTCCAGGTGAGAAAAACTGCATGAGCAGGTGTGGGGGCCGGGGGTGAGAAGCCATGCTAAGCATTGGGGTGAGAGAGAGTGGGGGAATCTAGCCCAAAAGAACAGGCCAACCTGAAGTTTGGCCCGCAGTTCAGGGTGAGCTGTCCCACTGGGTAAGTGATTTTAGTTGCAGAGAGAACGTATAGCCAGATCGAGTCATACAAGCTAAGTTTCTCTCAAAACTAGAGCCAAAATTGAACAGTCATCAGGCTCTGCAAGTCTATTTACATACATTATCTCCAATGACTCTTAAAGCCTGCCATCACCATGTTAGCCTCTAAGAAACAAGAAACAGAAAGAAGTCATGTACCTTGTGCAAAGTTACAAAGCCAGCGAGTGACAGAGTTGGGACACGAATCCCAAGAGCTGGCTCCAAAAACTGCGCCCACCCCAACTCCTGCTTCTCCTGTCAGTTCCTTCCTGTGAGCTCAGTTGTCTGTCCTCACTACTCTTGAGATAAGGGTGGCTCCTACCTGGTGCACAACTCTTATAGAACACCAAGCCCCACCTCATACATCCCCTCACTTGCTCACTTGGGAAATTTTGCTCCTTTATCAAACTAGTAGCAGCATTCCTAACAACAATCACTGGCAGCACAGTTATGATGTACAAGTATAGGCCAACTTTTCGTGGCACAATGATGTCTTGGCCAGGGTGATGCAGCAGGTTGTGGAGACCGTAGGACAGTGACAATAAATGTGTAAGAGCTTTCAGTGATACACACAGCCTGCTGTGGCATGTGTCCCATAGCTTTGTCACCACTGCCTCAGGACATCCTCAGAGGCAGAGGAAGGGACTGGAGAGATGAAGATGGATAGTCATGGGGTGAACAGATGTCAACCGAAGAATAAGATGGGCAAAATAAGTAACCTCGGGCTTCCTGATTCCTCAGGTAGAGATTGTGATGTCTCTGCTTGGGATGTTTTGTCCCCCGCTGTTTGAAACCATCGCTGCATTGGAGAATTACCACCCTCGTATTGGCCTGAAGTGGCAGCTGGGGCGCATCTTTGCCCTCTTCCTGGGGAACCTCTACACATTTCTCTTGGCTCTGATGGATGATGTCCACCTCAAGGTAAAAACTCCAACTCCTTCCCAGTTCCTGGGGCCTACCATGCTTCCTTTTAAAATAGAATTTAATTATACATAATTCATGTTAAATAAATGATAAAAGTTCAGAAAAGTTAAGAAAAATATGCCCAGAATATTAACCACAAATACTGACATTTTACAAAAGCTCCTGACTAACTTTTTCTTAGGGTATCTTTTTTCGTGTCATATATACATCATTTGGTACCCGTCTTATTTTATCTGCAGCCTTTCCTGTATTGTTTCATTAGCTGCCATAAGTGACTAAGTCATCCGCTCAGGTGGAAGTCGTGGTCAACTTAACCACTTACCAGTGCATTCCAGTTACAGAGCTCCCATTAGGCCAGGCTCTGGGGTGCGGCAGTCCATTCTGGGAACAGACTCATCCATCATAGCCTGCTGTGAGAGGGACAGCCTGTGATGCGAGCAAGCCCAGGGCTGTACAGCAGTGCTTAGGAAATCTCAGCAGGTATTAGAGGAATGGCTGGTGTGAGAAGGAACTGCAGGATGGCTGAACAATGGAGTAGAGGGAGGAACGTGAAAAATGACACGGGGGGTAGGGAGGTCCCAGTGACAGATGCCGCTCCCTGCCCCCTCCTCGTTATTTTGTTGCAGGAACTTTTTCCTGAGGTTAACAGGAAACTGTTGGAAGGTCCCAGTCCTTACCTACCGCTCTACCCTCTGCTATGGCTTCCCTGCTTCCCCAGGAGACTGTTCCATCTTTCTGAACCTCATTCTGCTTCCCTAGACCATAATTCTCCCTGGTCTCTCTCTCTCCACCCTCACAGACCCCTCCCTCCGGCCATGGCACAATTGTCACTGTCTCCTTCCTGTCTCTACTATCTGATAAAGATATTCTTCCATCCCCAGAGAAACTTTCCCACAGCTCTTGTCACTCCGCTCTGTCATTATCTGTTTACCTTTGTCATTTACTAGACCATGAACCTCCCAAGAAAAGCTCTAGCTCTATTGGTCACACGTGTGTCACCACTGTCTTCTGTGCCTACAATAGACACATTATCCTCAAAAAAGAATGGATCTTAACCTAGAGGAGGAAATATCTTTGTAGGAAAAACCCAAAGATTTCAACCAGTTGCGCCTTTCCCAGACAGATGCAGAGCTTGGGGAGGGCATCTGGGGAAGATTCTGCCCAGGGCAGGCAGGGCAGAGGTTGTGTGGCAGAACTGTGACCAGTGCTGATTTTAGTTGTTTCTGTGAAAGCAGGTGGACCCTCCCCGGCCCTTTCTAACCCCACATCTCCATCTTCTGTTCTAGCTTTCTAATGAAGCAAAAATAAAGAACATTACTCACTGGACCCTGTTTAACTATTACAATTCCTCAGGCTGGAATGCGAGTGTCCCGCGGCCTCCCCTGCATCCTGCAGACGTGCCCCGGGGTTCTTGCTGGGAGACTGCTGTGGGAATTGTGAGTGGTTACACTCTCTGAAAAGGTGCCCCTTGCTCTCAGTGCTTTGTTGTTCCTTCCCCAATGTTTCCACGTGAGGAATAACTCGAGAACTCATCAACCTTTCACGTGGCAAGGATTTCTCAGTTGTCTTGGAGGATACAGAGTGAATCAAGCAGACCCACTGCTCTCTGAGAACTCCAAATCTATCCCATCTTAAAAATTATGATAGGTCTGGTAGATCTTCACAATTTGTCAAAAAATAAATTATGTATTCCCATATAAAAGTGGAGAAACCTTCATTCTTTTGGCTGTTGGTTTTCCTGCTATGTGCTTGTGTTTTATTTTCTCTGTATTTTAAGGGAAAATCCAATTAATAGAATATGACAGCCAGCTGTCATCCCAGTGATTGATGGTCACATTCTGTCTTAGTGAGGACAGCAGCTATGGTGCCACACAGCTGTAATCCCAGCACTTGAAAGGCTAAGGCGGGAGGATCATTGCCAGTTCAAGGCGTCTTGTGCTACATAGTGAGTTCAAGGCCGACCTGAACTACATAGTCAGACCCTGTCAAGAAAGGAGAAAGAAAGAAAGAAAGAAAGAAAGAAAGAAAGAAAAAGAGAGAGAGAGAGAGAGAAAGAAAAAAGGAAAGAAAGAAAGAAAGAAAGAAAGATCTTAGTGGGAAAAACTGGCATTTCAGAGCAGGTGAGATAGTCAAGGAGCAAACCTCTAGGTTTTAGTTATGATAACTATGATACATCAGACACTGCCAACATACCAGTGACTTTACATACATAATCACTAAGTTTCCCAATATCCCTGCAAGAGTGATGTAATTTTCAAGTTCAAGAGGCCTCAGGATTATTCCAAAGCTGTATAATTTGTAGTTCACAGAGCTGGAGTTTAAGCATGCTCCGAAGCCTCTGGTCCTTTATCTGCACTGGCACTGTGCCTGAAGGATTGGGTCACAGATGGATTCAGGTGTGTAGAGAAGAGTCTACAGTGAACAGTGTCAAACTCTGACCTCTCCTTTTCTTCTCCTTGCAGGAATTCATGAGGCTGACTGTGTCTGACATGCTGGTAACATATATCACCATCCTGCTGGGGGACTTCGTACGGGCTTGCTTTGTCCGGTTCATGAATTACTGCTGGTGCTGGGATCTGGAGGCTGGATTTGTAGGTTACTGTTTCATAGATATCTGGCAGAAGGGTGGCTCAACCACCCTGTCTGATGCCTACAGTCAGACGCATTCTTGAGCATTTCCTTTCTCTCGACGTTTCATGTAGGTCTGCTCTGTGACATGGTGTAGTGTTTGAGCTTTATTTCCTTTAAGGACCCTCATTGCCTTTGTAGAGGTAACTCTGGGTTTTCCCAGTGTGATCTTATATCAGAAGTGGAGGCTTTCAGCCTTGGGAAAATGTGGACCACACACTTCAGCACTGACCGGATGACTAGTAGAAATAGTCTGAGTGGCATCGACTCTCACTAGGAAGGCTGAAGTCCTAGGATGCACATGAATGTCTTAGAAAATCCTGAACAATAACCACTGTGGTGTCTTCAGGGTTATGATTTGAGAAACCTCTTTTGACCTTTACTCTTTCCACCTACCTACCTAGTAAACTATTCATCCTAAATATGCATCATTTCCTCTCTGCAGTGACCTTCTATGATCTGGCAGAACCTTTGGCTCACTAGTTTGTCCTATATGTGTCTTTTCTATTCCCCTCTACTGACCCACTCACTAATCCCTGGTGAGCTCCTGGTGAGAGGTTCCCTACCTTGGTTGCCTACATAGCCCTCATCCTGGGCTGCAGTACGGTGCCTGTCCCAGCTAAGGGTGCTGGAACAGATTTCTCACATATGTTTTTCTTTTAGTCCATCACTAGTTTTAAACAAACCTAGTAAATTCCTCAGCAGCAGGGAAAATTTCCTAATCTGGTTGGAGAATGAGAATGAAAGAGTGTCATGCTCAAAGATGATGACATCTTTGATAGGAAGACACACATGCTAAGATGTCCTCATACTGATTCTTAAATTCAACAAGATTCCAATGTTACATTAAAGTTTACTTTAAAAATAAGCATGTGGGACCAGGTGCAGTGGCACACACTTATAATCCTAGCTACAATAGAGAGGCTGAAGCAGGAGGATTAAAGGTTTGAGGAAGCTGGGCAATGTAGCAAGACCTTGTCTGAATAAAATGGCAAAAAGGGCTAGAGTGTAGCTCAGTGGTACAGTGCTTTCCTAGCTTACATGACAATACGGGTTCAATGCTCAGGATTGACTGAAAAAAAAGTACATGAACTATCTAGGAAAATCTTTTAGAAAAGAGAATAAAACAAACTAAGCCTATAATTATATTGACATATTATAAAGTTATAATAAAATAAGCAAATTTATCAATGGAACAGAATAGAAATTCCAAAAATAGATATACTTTATATAGGATAAAGGCTGCCCACTTATATAATAAAGGGAATCTTTATTTTTTTAAAGGTTAAGATAAATTTTATCTTTTTATTTTAAAAAGAAAAAAGTCAGAAAATAAAAACAAAAAGCAGAAGATAAATAACAGCAAACCCAAAACAGTAACAATATAGGTTTTCAAAACAGAATGAAAGAAATTTAATAATGGTAGTTATATTCATATTATTCTCTTTTTTTCAAAGAAAAAGAAGAAAAGAAAATTTTAAAAAATAGAAAAACAAAAAAAGTAGAACAATACCAAATTTTTAAAAATTAGCATCATAAAATCACTAGTTGATACATTACCCATTGTTGTCTTAAAAAATAGTTGACAAAGTCACAAAATCAAAGCATAAAAAGTGGCTAGACACTCAGACATTAGCAGTGCAAACCCTTCTGTTCAATGATCCAACAGAACTCAGTAATATGGTCATCTATCTTACGCACTCTACATACCATTATATCCTTTGAAGTACTTTCCTTCCCTTTCACTTTTATAATATCTATTATACTTTTTGAATCCCATTATTCTGTCAGTTTTTATTATTTTTTACACTAGAGAGACAATGTGATATTTACTTATGTGAGTCTTGTTTATTTCACTAATGAGGATATTCTCAAGTTGCCTCCATTTACCTGTGAAGACCTCAAGACCATCCTTTTTTATAGCTGAGTGGTATTCCACTGTATAAAAATACCACATTTTTTCATCCACTCTGCAGTTGATTGGCATTTGGTTGTTTCCAAGATTTAGCTATCCCAAATTGTGCTGCTAAATAAATGGAACCTTTAAAATCAGTGGGAAAAACTAAGTGGGATGGTACACACTTGTAATCCCAGCACTAGAGAGGCTGAGATAGGTGGGTTTGATGCTAAAAACAGTGGGAAAAAGAACGATTACATAAAAGTGAGCCAGGGATGGAGAGGAGACTGTATTCCTCATTCATTTTGTAGCAATACAACTATGACCAAGAACTGAGTGGCACCCAGATTTCGAGGCAAGACTCAGCTATGTTACATCAGTGTCCCGACTGGGATTCTTCCCAAGGAAGTTGCCCATAGGCTCAGGGAAGGAGGTTTTTATGGGGTAGCAGAGCAGAATACAAAGGCAGAGTGCTTGTCAGCTGTGGAATCTTACAACGTGCTTCCCGGGGAGCTGCCGCTTCTGGGAAACAGGAGTAACAGGGGCTGTAACAGGAACTGAGGTATAATGGCTGGGCACTTTTTGCTATTTCACCTACATAAATTATAGGTGAATTGAAATTTTAAACATTAAAAAAATAATAAATCTCTAAAAGAAAGCACATATCAACTTGCAGTCTTGAGGGTAAGGAAAATTTTCCTAAACTGGACACAAAACTCAGTAGCTAAGTTTTTCTTGAATGCTGAAATCTAATTTCCTAAAATCTAACCTTGGAGATCTGGCCTGCGAGGATTCCCTCCTCTGATCCACGCTGTCCTGATCTTCCTACCTCCTTCCTGCCTTGTCGTTGCCCTTCTTACTCGTGTCTCCCTGAGTCTCCATTTCTGGAAGAAAGCTGTGAAGCAGATGTAAGCCTGCTTCATGAGGACCCCCAGCTCCTCAGGGCCCACAAATGCTACTTATGTTCTTCCAAATATTTGATAAAACACCAAAACTCCAAAAATCAGTCACATTGAAGATCTGAAACTGCTCTTTCCTTTCTTTATTCTTTCTTTCTTGTTTTAAAGCTACCTTTTCATTTGATTTCTCAGTTGTTTTATTATTTATTAGATTTAATCCCTGATGATAGTTTCAAGATCTCTAATTAAAGCACTGATAAAATATTCTTTTAGGGGCTAAGTTCCTCCGAAGAACACAGTGTCACCCACAGTCTCTAAAAGATAAAAACGATCATTTTTTTGTCGTTTTTTTGAGACAGGGTCTCACTAAACAGTTCAGGCTGGCCTTAAGCTCAGTTTATAGCCATGACTAGTCTCAAACTAGCAAAGATCCTCCTGCCTTAGCCTCCCAAGTGCTGGGATTACAGGAGTATGCCACCACGCCTGGCTTCACAATTTTTTTTAGACAGTTTCACTTTGTAGTTCAGGCTGGCCTTGCAATCTCTAAGTAGCCCCTGCAGCCTTGAACTTGAGGCAATCTTCCTGCCCCAGCCTACTGAGTGCTGGGATTATAGGCCTGTGCCATCATGCCCAGTCCAATGTTTTTAACTGGAAAAAGTTTCAGCTTTGAGAATTTCAAAACCTTTCTTTAAAAGTTGAAAACATTTTAAGAAACAGAACTATGAACCTAAAATTTTTCTCTGGCTACCATAGCATGGTCTTTGGGAGAGGTGAGCGCTGGGTTGGCCAGCTGGCCCAAATTAGGACTTGGTTGATATTACCTAATTTTCATTCTGTCTCTCTCCCCCCCCCCCCCTCTTTCTCTCTTTCTATCTCTCTCTCTCCCTCTCTGTCCCGCCACCCCCACTCTGTCTGTTTTGCTCCAGCCCTCATATGCAGAGTTTGACATCAGCGGAAATGTGCTGGGTTTGATCTTCAACCAAGGCATGATCTGGTGAGTTATCTGAGGGTCACCTATTTTGAGTCAAAAACTTAGACTCCCAGGCCTTGCCCCTCAACTCCTCCTGCCCCACTATGCTCCCTTCTTTCATGTGAAAAACAGAGGGCAGGCCCAGGAGAGGCTGGCCAGTTTCTGGCTCATGCATATGCTACTGTGAATGTAGAGATGGAGAGAGAGGAGAAGGAGAAAAAGGGAACAGAAAGGAGGGAGAGGAAGGATGAAGGAAAAATAAAAGGACAGAGAGGAAGAAGGTGGGAAGGAACAGAGAGAGATGAGAGGGAGGGAAAAAAGGAGAAAGGAGGAGCTAAATGAATTGAAGAACTTCCTGCTCTGGAAAGAGAGCCGGAGGAGACTAAAGAGACTAGCCAAAGACTTTCAAGATGCGGAGGGCTCCCTATGGACTCTGTCCAAAACCAACAGAGACCGTGAAGAAACAGGCCGAGGATTATGTGATCTGCTGACACCTAGTGGGATGGTAAAATTCTGACAAGGAACCAAATTATGGAGCTGTCTCCCTCTCCTAGACTGCAGCTTCCTCCCTGTTCCAAAAGTATGTCTCAGTGACAAATGTCCTCACTAAATGGGAGGCCCCTGCCTTGAGGTCTGCAGGGAAAGCAGCTTCACTTCTCACCCCTGACCCTTCCATCCCGTTTCCTTGTTCCCTCCTCCCCTCGTCTTTCCTGCTACCAGGCTAGCAGAGCGTCCGGTTTCTGTCCTTCCAGGATGGGCTCCTTTTATGCTCCAGGACTGGTGGGCATTAATGTCCTGCGCCTGCTGACCTCCATGTACTTCCAGTGCTGGGCAGTGATGAGCAGCAACGTCCCCCACGAACGTGTGTTCAAAGCCTCCAGATCCGACAACTTCTACATGGGCCTGCTGCTGCTGGTGCTCTTCCTCAGCCTCCTGCCGGTGGCCTACACCATCATGTCCCTGCCGCCCTCCTTTGACTGCGGCCCGTTCAGGTGCAGAACAGTGCAGAGCAGGTTGTACCAGAGCGTCTGCTCACAAGGCCTGGCTCGGAATTTGGGTTCTGGTTTCACATCGGCTTGTAAAAGGCCAGAGAGCTTTGGGTAAATTGTCAGTGCTGCCCAAGAATTTTCTGCCAGAGTAGAAATGGTCTGGGTCTGTGCTGCTCTCCTGTGTCCTGGGTACTCGAAATGAGAGACTAGGAAGCTGAATTTCTAATTTTATTTCATTGTACTTTAATTAAAATAGCCACATAGTGTCTACATATTGGATAGTGCGATTATAGCCTTTCAGCATTGGGCAATCTGTCACCTGGGATGATCTTACCACAGGACATCTGGCAGGGAATATGCTGAAGCAGAAATGACTGGAAACCCCCAAGTGCCATCCAGTGTGAGGTAGCAGCAACGGAGCCCCCTGCCTGGTTCCCCCACACTGCAAAGCACTGGCCAGGTCCGTGGGTTAGGCTGAAATAGTTTAGGAGGCTGGATATTATATAAAAAGATCAATAGTAAGAAGGTAGATTGATGTGCATCTTTGCAAACAGTGACCCTCTGAAAACAAAGTCCTCTACCGACTCCACCAAAAGGGTTTCTAGAATTAGAGCAGGAAGAGGCACACCGTCTCTTTTCTCTGCCACCTTTTCACCTGATGTGCTGTCCTCAGGAATCATGAACCAGGACAGTGTGAACAGCCAGTGCTCCCGTCCTCACTGAACACCTCTCTCTGCCCACAAGTGGGGTGAGCAGGTGAGGGGGGCCCTGAACTGCATTTGTCCAGCACCCAGAGCAAATGCTTCCTCAAAATGTGCACCCCATGGCGCACTCACCTTCCCCTAGTGCCAGTCCTGCCTACCAGTGTACAGAGGCCCACACGGAGAGATACTGGTTAGGTGCTGCTCAGTTCATAAGGGACTTCCCTAGATGAAGCCGTCAGTTAGTGAAGCCCAGAGGATGAATTCACAGGAGTGTTACAGCACAGCAGGATCTGATCAAACAAGGGCTCACAGAGTGGGGTCTGTCTAGAGTGAAGGCAGATGAGCTACAGAGGGCTGGAGATGCTGGGCTGATGGGAGAACCCCGCGAGAGAAGCTAGGTTGGCTTATTTCTGGGTGCAGGTGCCAGAACCCTTTTCCTCAGGCTGCCACCTATGTCCAGGGCATTACTATGAGCAGACCTGTGCCATGCCTGGCTCTGCACCCTTTTGCCTCATCTGCAGCCTGAAAAGGCTCTGACACCCTACACTCAGATCAGAGGGAATGACCTAAACTGTAACTCATGGGAAGCACAGCGGCCAACTGCCACTTCCCTCCCATCACTCATCTGATCAGAAACCACCAACAGCTAGGTGTGGTGGCACACGTCTGGAATTGTAGCACTGGGGAGGCTGAGGCAGGAGGATCACTGCAAGCCCAGGGCCAGTCTAGGCTACAAAGGGAATTCAAGGCCAGCCTGAACTACATGGCAAAACCCTGTCTCAAAAAGACAAAAACAAGCAAAAAACCCACTGACACCTGGAATGTTCTTTTCTTGAATATTTACAGAGCTGTTCTTCACTTGTGCCAGGTCTCTACTTAAAGATGGCCTACTCTGTCAATGAGGCCTTTCCTAACTGAACAGTCTCACACAACACACACACCCACACACACGTTTCTGCTTATTCTATCTCCTCGTCCCTTAACAGGCCATCTTTTGTCTTTTCCCCACCAGGACAAACTCCATGAGGACATGGCTTTTGCTTCCTTTCTCATTGCCTTATACCCAGTATCTGGAAAAGAACATTTGGTTTATAGTAAACTAAACCATTACCCTTGAAAAATTCAGCCATACGGCGGGTACTTAGAGCATGGAGCAGATCAGACGCCTACAGGCCCAGGCAGGCAACATGAGTGAGCTGGGCACCACTGTACAGCATATGGTCAGAAACGGCTTGGGAAGCTGTAGCCTGTAGACCAAACCAGACTGCCGTTTGTTTTTGTAAATAAACACAACCATGTCTGTTTACTTATATGTAACTATGGCTCCTGTCCCATTATAACAGCAGGATTGAATAGGTGAGTAAAGAATCATCTGGCCCACAAAGCCTAAGATTTTTATTTGTTGCCTTTTACAGAAGAAAAAAAACTACCAGACCCTTGATTCAGAAACTAGACTCCAGCCAGTGCTGTCATTTACAGTCTGGGTGATCTGAGCAAGTTACTTAACTCTCTGCACTTCAGGTTCATTGCCTATAAGGCTCAAATGCTGGTGGTGTTTATCTCACAGGGTTGTTGTGAGGATTTAGTGTGCTGCTGTCTGTAAGGCACTTAAAGGAGCATACAGGTCCACAGTAAAGCATATCTGGGAGTTTTATTAAGCCTGAGCTCTGCCCAATCTGGGGCAGTTAGTGCTCCAGACAGTACTGCCATCAGGAGCATGGGCCCACTCTTATCAGACCTTCCAGAACACCACAGAAATCTGAGCACTGAGTATTGAATCAGAGTATTGAAAATACTCTGATTTTTTGGGTGGGGGAGGCACCAGGAATTGAACTCAAGACCTTGTGCTTGCCAGGCAGGCACTTGACCACTGAGCTGTATCCCTTGCCCTGATATTTTTATTATAGCCATTAACTTGGGTTTTAGAACTAACTGTACCAACTGACAGAAAGTATTGTGTAGATATGTAGTCCACGCTGGCCAAAATTTCCTCCAGATAGAGCATAAGGTGTTCAGGTGTACATGTCTCCGAGTACACAGATCCGCTGTGTCTGACCTAAATCATGGTAAGACAGATGTTTGACAATGGCCTCAGATTTTCCTCTTAACTGGTGAACCAAGAACCAGCTAGACACCTGGAGCCTGTATAGAGAAGTCCTTTATAAATTGCAGTTCACACAGGCATGTGAGTCACTTTTACATGAGTAGCGGTACTGAGCTCTCATGCCTACAGTAACACCTTGATTCACATACGCTTCTGTTTACGAACAATTTGGTTCACAAACAGAAGCTTTTGGCAAAAGTTTGCTTCCATTCACGAACTCCACATCAGCTGGTGAGTGATGAACACAACTGAGGCCATCATCCCCTGTGAATATTAGCACGGTCATCTTCCCTAGAATCATGGAATAAGTTGAGTTCATGAACCGAGGTGCCTGTGTTTTGAATTCCTTGTTCATTAACTTACTCATTTTTGAAAAGCAACACCAATCCCAGGCAACATAGAAAACCAGAGGACTACAGATGCCAGTCACTCAGTGTAACTCACGGGGGAGAAGCTGCTGATCCCTTCAGATTCATTTCAGTTTGTGTCTCCAACCCAAATCTTTTTTATTTTGTACTTCTAAGGGAGATAAGACAGAGTTTTGGTTTACTTTACCTCTTTGTCTGAATTTGTTGAAATTCTACCAACAGTCCTTTCAGCTTGCCAGGAGAAGGAAAAGGAAGAGGAGGAAAGGTACTAAGGACCCCGAAAACCCTTAAGATACACATACATATCAGTGATGGGGAACGTTTGTGGTAACATGGGGCAACCAAGGTATTCTGTATGCTTGATTTGTGGCAAGCATTGCACGAGGCGTGTACTTAATCCTCATCACGACACTGTGCGAGAGGAAGCACCACCTGCATCAAGGGTCAGCTGGCTTTTTCTGTAAAGAGCATGGCAGTAAATATAGGCTTTGCCAGTTACTGAAGTTTGAACATGGTTTGTCCCCTTGAAGCTCATGTTGGAATCTCACTGCCATTGTGGCAGTGTTGGGAGGTCCAGACTTCGGATGGTGTTTGGGTTGTAAAAGGGATAATACCTTTCACGAGACACAATCAATTCCTGCCATAGTGAATGAGTTCTCATTCTTGCAGGATTGTACTAGTTACTTTATTGTTAGTTGTTATATAGTTGTTAGAGAGCAAGTCTGCCCTTGCGTTTTATCTCACATATCTGCTTGCTCTCCTAATATCCACCATGAGCTGAAGCAGCACAGGCCCTCTTCGGACTCATCCAGCCTCTGTTGGACTTCACCTCCAGAACTGTGAGCCAAAACAAACCTTTATCCTTTATAAATTACCCAGTTTCAGGAGTCCTGTTTTAGCTGAAAATGGACTAAGAAAGAGATCAAGAGGTAGAATCAAGAATATTGTGTAGATATTTAATAACAAGAGAAATAAATGTCCACAATTTTATTGACAATATTCAAAATATAGTGATAGTGATGATAATAACAGAGCATAATGTTTGTCATAAAAATCTACTAATGAGAAGGATGGAGTTCTTTGGGAAGAATGACAGTGTTTCATGTTGGAGGGTCAGAGCTACTGCTAAGCCAGTGAACCACTATGCAGCAGGGCAAGTCAGTGTGTTCAGCTTCCATATCTGATGAAAATTTACAGACTGAAAATGAATAATTTGCAAGAGCAAATGAAGTTCACTATTGACGCCACTGATAAATGATAAATTCAAATGCTTTAGGTTATAAAGGCTCTGTACAATTTCATGGGCTTTGTAAATTTGTCCAACTAAGCCATTTCCTACTCCACACATAGTTTAACTGTCATCAGTTGTAATACAGCGTAGCAGGTTCCCCTTCTGACCCTGCCGAATTAGTATTTTCTCAATTTCTTAAAAATAGTCTCACTTATTTTTGTTTCACGCAGAATATTCACAGAGGCTCATTTTCCAGTCAGTTCAAATTTTGTAAACTCAGAAAACAATGATGCAGTGTGGCAGTATGAGCAACATTTGTCAAATAATCAAAACCCAAGGAAAACCACTGGAAACCATTTACCTTCTTTTTGACTAGGACATCACTCCTAATATTCTGCACTCTTCAAGTGAGTTTCTCTTGTTAGAGAGTATATATACCTTAAACTTTTTCCCCCTCTAGTCATGTTTATTCAGCTTCTGCAATCAAACACAATTTAATTACTGCACCACTGGAAAATAAGAAGAGTGATTTTGGAAACTAAAGGGAAGGAAATCCTTACTAAACCACAAAAGGAAGTTTAGTTGAATCATATGCTACAATTATAATGGAAAACTGAACTTACAGGTTTGAACTTGGATATTTAGTGAGATTTTGAAGCAAAAATTTTTGAAAGTGCATACTGGATTTTTGTTTTGTTTTGATTTGTCTTCTCACTTATTGTAAACTGTGAAAGAAAAGAACCAAATTAAGGAAAGAACTTGTAAGTAAAAAAAGAACCAAGATTTGCAGGCTATGGTGGCACAAACATGCAATCCTACCATTCAGGAGACTGAGGCAGGAGGTTCGTGAGTTCAAGGCCAGCCTGAACTACATAGCAAAATCCTGTTTTAAAAAAAAGAACTAAAACTGGGACACAATGATTCTCAGCTTCTCTACACTGTAAGAGAAGCTAGGATCGCATTCATTGTTAGGGTACAGTGCTCTGAAAAGAAAATCAGGAGCATGGCTAGACAATCTCTCACTAGTGCTCCCATATTAAAACTATGCTTATTCATTCACTTTGAGGACTCATTAATGAGAATAAGCACGTGACTCAGATCCCCTCAATCATCTCAGGAGGAGCTAGGAACAGAGATAAGATATCCAGTAAATATAGTACTCGATTCTCTTACCTTTTAGAGAGAATTCCCATGACATGCATGGAGGATCCACAGAGTTTTTGAGACTGTTGTATCAGGAGAAACACTCCCAACTTGGGCTGGAAAGGACAGAATGAAAACAAGAATAAGAAACCCGTTGGACCCAGAATTTACAGGCAGGAAACAGACTAGTAAAAGTCGGAACCACACTGGAACACCTTCGTGGAAAGGGAAAGTTAATTCGCAAAGCAGAGCCATCCTCAAAAGCAGGTCTGCCAGACAGAGGTCAGATCCCAGAGCCCAGAGGATTATTCTTAAGCCTTCAATGCCAAATAAGTGGCCAAAGAAGTGAAGTTTTGTTGGTTGAATTTTGAGACTGCTCTGAACTGGTGATTCCCCCCTTCTTTCCAGTTTCTCTCTTTTGGAATTGAAATTTCTGTAACTCTTACGCTATGCCTGTCCATCAGTGTATGTTTGAAGTAAATCATTTGCTTTCTACTTTTCCAGTCCCACAGCTAGAAAAGAATTTTGCTTTAACATGAGTCAAACCTAGAGATTTGAATGGCTTCAATCACGAGAGGTGGAATTGTTGAGCTGTTGATATTTAGCTATTTTGGACTTGGAGTTGACGCTGTGATGAGTTGAGGCTTCTAGAGATAGAGTAGAGTGAATATATCTTGCATGTAGGATGGATATGAATTTCGGGGAGGCAAAAAACAGACTATAGGAAGCTAAATAAGGTCCCCAAAATAGCCAGGTCCTAATCCCTGAAGACTGCAAATGAGACCTTATATAGCAAAAAAGACCTTTGCCAACATAACTAAATTTAAGGATCTTGAGATGACAAGATCATTGTGGCTCATCCAAAGGGACCCCTAGTCACATGTGTCCTGATAGGAGGAAGACCAAGGGAGATTTGGCCACACAAGAGACAGAGAAAATGTGATGATAGAAGCAGAGACTTAAAGATTCTGTGTAGCTTGCTTTGAAGATGGAAGATGGGGACCTGAGCCAAGGAGTTTAAGGAGGCAGTGAAGAACTGGATATTCTTCTGTAGCTCCCCTCGGGAGATAAAGCCCTGTCAAAATTTGTGTTAGCTCAATGAAACAGTTTCAGACTTCAGACTTACCTTTTAAACTGCTAATATGATAATTTGTTACAGCCGCTACTGGGAACTAATACAGCATTTACTTCAATGAAAAAATAACGGATACTCACTCAACTTTGACTTAAAGCATAACATTGAAGTCCACTTTTCTTATTTTCATAGGAAGGGTATGAACAGTGATAAAAATGAAATGAATTGCCATGATGTGACATGCACCGCCCCTGAAACGCAGTTGTGTTATAGCTCCTTCACTGAGATTTGTAATCTAAGGCAAAGTAAAGTAAGCGGGCCACAGGTGGTCTCCAAGGGGACCGTTCACCTCTGCCATTAAGGCACAAAGTCAGCCACAGGCCACATATAAATGAACAAGCACGGCTATGCTCCAGTAAAACTTTATTTATGGACACTTCAATGTGGACGTCTTTCTTCAATTCGTATGTGCCAAAAAATATATTTCTTTGATTTTTTTTTCAAACCACTTGAAAATGCAAAGATTTTTCTTAACTCACAGGTCATATAAAAATAGGTGACATACTGCAGCTATCTATGGGTCAGTGTCTGTCAACCCCGACGTATATTTTACACAAGAGAAAAATGAGGCTGCTGGCTGCAACATTTTGGAAGGCACTTATACCTCCACAACAGCTACTCAGTATTTTACATGAATTCGTGTCTATGTCATCTAAACAATCTTCTGAGACAAATACAATTATGATACCATTTATACTATATTAGTGTTATACAATATTAGATAAATCAATGGACATGTGGAAACTAGGGAAGAGAAATTTTTAATATCTTATCAAAATATCAAACCTTAGCATGTCCAATAGAATTTTCTGTAATGATGAAAATATTCCACATCTTTTCTTCTATTATAATAACTAACTCTCTACTTTTCTAATAACTGCTCTACTTTTGGGTACTTGAATGTTTAAGAAATAGAATTTTTATTTTATTTTAATTAATGTTTGTGTTGTTTTTAATAGTCACATTTGACAGTACAGCTCCAGCAGGGATGGCCAGGGAATGGAAAGGCATAAAGAGAATAAGTAAATGATTCAGAATGTCCCAAAGCTAATGAAAGGGAGGGCACAGATTTTAATCAGGAAATTCAAACCTCTAAATCCATTTCTTGGTACCAAAATACCAGTCAAGAGCTACCAGCACAAAGGAATCTCTGGACAGGCATTAGTGGAGTCATTCTGCACAATGATTCTTAGGAATTTTTTTTTATAATTTTTTAAATTTTATTTAAGGAGAAAAAGAAAAAAAGCAGAGAAAGGGTACAAGTTATGCAGATTTACAGAAAAAAAATAAAAAGTAGGAAATCACTAGTTAATGGATTACATATTGTCATCTTAGAAATAGTTGTTCAAGTTACAAAATTAAAGCTTATAAAGTGGACATTCCAACAGTGAGACTGCAAAAAGTTCTGTTCAGTGATCCAACAAAACTCAGTAGTATCATTATCTATCTTATACACTTAAATATACATGCAGTTATATGATTCTTAGGAATTTGAAGGAAATTGAGATTACTTTTGTGGGTAGTAGAAGCTTACCTTGAGAATCTAGTCTCCTAGAATCATCATGTGGAGATTAATTGTGAGCAGGTTTGAGAGGCACCATGACCTGTTTCCCTGCCAGGGAGCCCAGAGGTAGCAGCATGCAGGGCTTGTAACTACATTATAGGGAACTTGCTTCTTAAGAATGAATTAGAAAACTCAGTCTTTTTTTGTCTGTTTGGTTTGGTTTGGTTTGACTTTTGCTGAGGAAGGTATCAAACACAAATTGCCAATGTAGTCTGAGAGAACAGAAAGCTGGAGACCAGTGTTCAGACCCAGCTATATGCCCCAGCCAAAGTGGCCACCACTGATGGACATTTTCTACTCACAGTTGATCTGGAGCAGAACTCTAATTCTTCCAGGAGGGCAGTGCCCAGAGGCAGCTCTGGAGGCGTGGGGCATGGACACGGTCGTGTGTGCCACTGGAGCTTTGCAGCATGCTATAATGTGTCCTCTTCTCTTTCCAGTGGGAAAAACAGAATGTATGACGTCCTCCAAGAAACCATTGAAAATGATTTCCCGACCTTCCTGGGCAAGATCTTTGCTTTCCTTGCCAATCCAGGCCTGATCATCCCAGCCATCCTACTGATGTTGTAAGTTAGCCAAGGCACTGGCTCCATCTTATGGAAACCTTCCCTTGCAGCTGGAAGTTCCTGGGCAGCTCCTCCTTGTTTCCCATTTGGTTTATTCAAGATAGTCTCACTACATAGTTGAGGTCGGCCTTGAACTCCTAGGCTGGCCTCAAACTCATGGCAATCCTCCTGCTTCAGTTTCCCAAGGCTGGGATTACAGGCATATACCAGTTTGGTCCCACTTTTTACCCTTTTAGTCTAGATTCCCAGAAGCAGCCCCTGAGATAAAGATTCACATGTAAGCAGTTTATCAGGGAGGGGCTAGGAACTCTAGGCCTCTGTGAAGGATTTGACTTCAATTCTGCTATGGGGGCTAGTGTATGGCTCAATGGTAGAGATCTTGCCTTGCATGTACAAGGCCATGGATTCAATCCCCAGTACCCAAAAAGAAATAAAAGTAAAATGCTGCTACGGAACTTGGGGAGACAAAATGCCTCTCTGAAGGTAAGGGTCCCATTTCAGTAGACCAGACCCTAACAGTCACTGACCGAGGGACACTGAAGTTGTTTAACTGCCTGGCAGTTTTGTGTAGACTGGCTTCAGGGGGGCCCTGGAGCTGCGAGGTGCATGGGAAGCTTCTGGCATAGAGGTAAAGGCGCTGGCCATTGCACATCTTTCAAGGAACACACTAACAGACAGAATCCAGGGGACATAGGATCCTGGAAAAGTTAAAGACATCTTATTATAGTGATACATGTTTATAGCCACATGACTCATGATAGCTGAATCCTGGAAATAGACTAGGTCATCAACAGATGAATGAGTGAAGAAAATGTGGCATTTTTTTACCATGGAGTACTACTCTGCCATAAAGAGGGATAAACTTGAGGATCACCACCAGTTCAAGCCCAGCCTGGGCTACAGGAAGTTTAAGGCCAGCCTGGAATACATGGCGAGACCCTGCCTCAAAAAACAAGAACAAAACAAAATGATAAACTTGCGTTATTTTCAGGAAAACAAATGTACCTTGAGACCATAATGTTGAGTGAAACAAATCAGACACATAATCTTAGCCCACAGTTTCTCTTCTATGAGAAATCCAAGTTATAAATAAAGACCAAGATAAAAGATAAACAATAGGAAGTAGGGAGGTAGATTTTGTTCAAAAGGAAAAGGGGATTAAGAGATAGAAGGATCTGGGTGTGGTGGCGCAGGCCTATCATCCCAGCATTTGGGAAGTTGAGGCAAGAAGATGGATGATGCAAATTCAAGGTCAGCCTGGGCTACATGGCAAAACCCTTCTCAAAAAAACCCCAAGGAGATGGAGGGAAGGGAAGGGAAAAGGGAAAGAGAGGAGGAAAAGGATGAGAAAAGGAATTACACTGTGCACAGAGCTGCACCACAAGGAATGTCATCATTGTGTGAAGTAAATATGCATTAAAAACAACAGCAACAACAAAACCAGAATAAAAGGGGGATGAGGTGAGCCCAAGTGTATTCTCAACAACCTTCACAACATTCACTGCAACTATCAAAAACATAGTATTCTTGCTTGGGGAAACTCAACATAAATATGCTGATTATTTCTGAACCTAATACGAATGATTGTAACAGGGCCGAATCATTAACTTGACTCTCAGAGCTGGTTTTGTTTTCTGAGTTATTCTTTCCCTCTGTTTATCTTAAATTCCAGGATCACAGGTCTGATAGATAAATGTGATGTGACTGAAATCGAAACTGCCCCCAAACCTACCCACTGCAACTTGTTAAATAACTACTAGTGTTTCATGTTAGTTCTCTTGTCATTTCTTACTATAGAGGTTCCTTTTCTCATCCTCATCATGGTCTGGGAAGTTTGTATTTATAATCCTGTAGAAACATTATTGGAATCCTGATGAGTTAATTCCAATCTACCATCTCCAGTGCAACCCACAGTGAGAATAAAGACACTAAGACTTATTTATAGTTAAGGACAGTCAAGGGGTTCTGAGTCCAGTCAGGACAAGGGTTCACAGAATTTTTGACCAAGAGCCTCACCCAGATTTTATTTATTTGTGAAGAAGTGAGTGACTAGAAGAATGAGCGACTGTGCAAATGGTGGGAATTACGTGAGTACCGTGTGCTGGGCTGGCTAGATCAGAAAGCATCTCTGCAGTGTGCAGCGAGAAGGGTGTGCAGAAAGACCAGGCTGCATAACACAACTGAGGTAGTGTTTCATGTTAGAAGGCTGCCGCTTTACTTCTGTGTGCAAACATCTTCTGTCCTGGGAAGTCAGAGCCTCTTAGTTAGCTCAAGGCTCCAACCCACTTGACAGCCCTGGAGCAGTGCGGCTCTGCCGTCCCACTGGGCTCAACCATTTAGAGGGAGACACTGAGGTGAGGAAACAGGACTGTCACCTGGTTTCAAAGATCACACATCAGCACCTCAGCAGGCCCTATTTACATTGCTTAGAGCCAATTGAAGGGAAACGGAAATGGCCTAACCAGCTCTGTACACATCGGTACATGGAGACAGGGCCAGGTTTAGTCAAAGTGGAGGTAACTGCTCTTTATTCAAGGAGAGTCATCCAGGTGGTCCTCTACATCTTACTGTACTTTTTAAGTTATTTCCTTAGCAATTACCCTGGAAATTACATTGTATTGTACAACAAGCTACTTTAGACAAAACCGTATTACCTAGTGAGAACCTGTCTGGGGGAGAAAAACCCAGATAGGAGAAAAACATTTTCAAGGACTACTTTGGTATTGACTCTTATATTTACCTGTAGTTATCTTTACCCTTACTCTTGATCTCATTATATAGATCTGAGTCACCATCGAGTCCTTTCATTTCAACCTGAAGGACTCCCTTCGGTATTTCTTGTAAAGAAAGTTTTTGCTGGTAAATTATCTGTTTTTGTTAATAGTAATATCTTAATTTCACCTTTTTTTTTTTTACAATGAGTCTAGCTGTGTAATTCAAGTTGGCCTGGGACTCACTCCATAGGCTGGCCTTGAACTCCCAGCGATCCTCCTGCTTCAGTCTCTCAAGTGCTGGAATTACCAGCATGCACCACACATTTTCACCTTCTTTTTAAGGGGCCATTCTGCTAGAGGTAGAACTTTCCGTTGACTTTTTGCAGCTCTTTAAATGCCATTCCATTGCCATCTGGCCTCCATGGTTTCTGATGAAAAACATTAAATCTTTTTGAAAGCTCCGTATGTGATGAGTTTCTTCCTTGCAGCTTTCTAGATTCTCTCTTTGATGGTGGCTTTTGCCTCAATTTATTGTGAGGTTTCCTGATGTAGATTTATGTGAGTTTATTCTGCTTGGAATATATTGTTGACCTTCTTATAGAGTTAATATTTTTCATCAAAATTGAGGAATTTGCAGTTTTTATTTTTTTCAAATATGCTTTCTAATTCTCACTCTCTGTCTCTCTGTCTCTCTCTGCCTCTATCTTTGTCCCTCTGTGTCTGTATCTCTCTGCCTCTCTATGTTCTTTCTCTCCCCGTGTCTGTCTCTCTCTATCCCCTCCTGGGATTCCCGATAGGCATATACTGGTACACTTGCTGTTGTCCCACAGGCTCATCTACCTCATTCTTTTTCTCTCTGCTTCTCTGGCTAGATAATCTCAATTGATCTACCTTCAAGGTTATTAATTCCTTATTCTGTCAACTCGAATATGATGTTGAGCAGATCTAAAGGGCAGTTTAGCTATTGTAATCTTCAACTCCAGAATTTCTACTTGATTCTGTTATTTATGATATCCAGCTATTGATATTTTATTTGGTGAAATATCATTTTTGTACTTTGTTTTTAATTCTTTAGACATTGTTCCTTTTAGTTCACTGAATACATTTAACAAAATTGATTTCTTTTTTTCCCTAATAAACATCTAAACTTCCTCAGGGAAAATTTCTACTGACCACTTTTTCCTCTGAGTGTGGACCAGACTTCCTTATTTCTTTGCATATCTTATATTTCATGTTGGAAACTGGACATTTTGAATAATATATGACAGCTCTAGAAATCAGATTCTATTCCCTTACTAGGGTTCCTAGTTATGGCTGTTTATTGTTACTGGTTTGTTTAGGATTTCTCTAAACTACTTCTATAAATTATGCATTCTTTGTTTTGTGTGGACATTAGCAGATCACTAAGCTAACTGAGTAGAGCTAACAACTGAAAATAGTTAATTTAGTGATCAGCCAATGATTTAAAAGAGATTTCCTGCTAGGTGTGGTGGCACATCCCTGTAATTCCAGCCCATGGAAGGCTGAGGCAAGAGGTTCTATGGGAGTTCAAGGCCAGCCTGAGCTACAAAATGAGTTCAAGGTCAGCCTGAACTATGTAGTAAAACTTTGTCTCAAAGAGAGAGAGAGAGAGAGAGAGAGAGAGAGAGAGAGAGAGAGAGAGAGAGAGAGAGAGAGAATTTCCTCGTATGCTTAATGCTAAGAAGTCTTCTGGTATTTGCCAAGTGGCCCTGTACAAATATAACTTTAATATTCAACCAAACAACTCTACCTTAGCCTTTCAGCTTAAGCAGCAGTTCAAAGTCAGCCCAAAATGGGAGATTAGAGCCTTCTCAGGTCTTTCTTGGATATGTGCATAGCCATGGAAAAGCAGAGCATTAAACACTGTGCATGTAGCCCTCTAGATTCCCAGGAATGTTTCAAAGCTTTAAAAAGCACTGATTGGGCATCACCTTTTCTAACTTCTTAAGCTTTTTTTTTTTTATTAACCTATTGTATTAGCTGTCTCATCACTGGACAAAAATACCTGACACCCACAATTCAAAGGAAGGGAGATTCGATTCGGCTCATGGTTTCAGCCATGGCTAACAGGCTCCAAGGCAAAAACAGCATGGGAAAAGGATGTGGTGAGCAAAAGGACTCAGTTCATGGTAGCCTGGGAAGTAGAGTGGGGCACTGAACCAGGGGAAAGGGTGAGGGACCAGACAGAGACCTCAAGGTCATGGTTCCATGACCTCCCCCACCAAGCGTACTCAGAAGTGTGCTTCACTGATTGCTGCATGGATCCCAAAGCCAATCAATTTGATATTCCAAGTATAATTTTCCCCAGCTGCTATTCAGCACCTCATACAGCTATGCTCCCCCCACCACCCCACAGTGGCCTCCTACTGTGACTGACAAACACTCTCAGAGAAAACCCTGTTCAGCATTGAAGAGGATCTAAATCTAATCAAATAAAGAGTGCTTTAGGAATGGCAGCTCCCAAGGAAGCACTGGATAAGTCACATATTGACAGTTATTTGGAAATCAGGATTTGAAATCATTCCTCCTCCTCCGTTCACTGCCGGGACCCTGCTTTTCGCTATGGTTTTGGACTGCTGGTTTTCAAACCCTCTGCAGAACTGAGTGGGGGCAGAGTATAAGGCCACTTAAATCTTGCAAAGCACACTGTTCTTACTAAGATTCAGCCATTTTTCTTGAAAAGACACTGAAAAACTTTTCCTAATTTTGAATTTCTGAAAAAGTTGATTCCAATGATTTTTGCCAGTGTCCTTACTGCTTTTATGGAAGAGAGAATTTTCAGAGGTCCTCTCTGTGGTATTGTTGCTGATATTTGGACTGAACTTTAGCCTTATGTAAAGAATTTGTTAAAATCTTTCCTTTGAGTATCATTCTTTTCATCAATTAGTTGTGTTTCCTTGTTTCTATTTATAAATTCTCAAAGACCATTTCAGGAAATCAAACTCCCGTCAACTCAGCATGGCCAATGGAGCCAGCCTCCCCTAAGCTTGTGGCTTCTCCAGCGCTGCTGGTTTGGAAGGAGACTGAAACTCTGCTCCCCCAGGAAAGACCTCTCCTTGCTCACCCACTCCCTGCTTTCTGCAGGGGATACAGACTCAGGGGATTCCAGTCCCCAGCCAGACTCAGATTCAGGATCCTCTCACTTATTCATCCACTCATGTGACACCCATTTGTATGGTCTGCCTTGACTGCTAACGGCAAACAGCATGTCATTTTGCTTCCCTGATTGCAAATCCCTCTGTTTCTAATCCTGGTAGAACAGAGATGACAAGACACTACCTATATGGTTGGCCTTGTGACCTAAGGAAATCAAGGAATCCAGACACCAAATATGACTCTTGCTGGCCTCGAGGAGAAATGCTAAATCTAGAAACAACCTTAGGAAGAAGAGAGCCATCCCAAGCATTTTAGCTCCCATTCATTGTGTTGGTGATCTTGAGCAAGACAAATCGCCTATCTGGCCTCTAATTTCACTCTATTCAGTGGGCTATCTTAGAAGAGTTGGCAAGGCCTGGCACAGAGTGGAGGCTTACGAAACACATATTGGTCCTATCGCCTGCTTTCCCTTCTCTCCTCTCCTCACCCACAGTCCTGAGTTGTTCTGAGAGACCTCAGACCTATACTCTGCGTTAGAGACAATATGACATCTCTTCTCTAGCTGTAGGTGACCTAACCCTAAAGGGGGAGGCTCAGAAAACCCAAGATGAAGCAGCTGAGACTTGAAATCACAGAGGAAAGTGACTAAAGATGAACCCAAAAATGTGCAGGCACCAGATGGTGGAACAGCCATTCTGGCTTTTGTGTTCCCTCCCCTCCCAGATCGTACAGTCCATGTCATAGCACCCGATCACAGGTCCTGTGGGAGGGAAGCCCAACGGCAGCCTCAAAGGACACCAATGACCTAGTCAGACATTGGAGCCTGGGTTCAAAATTCCAAGGCCAGAGACAGATATTTCAGTGCACCCTGGGCAGGCAACTCTGAGGGCACCTGCAGTTGTCTCTTAGCAAACTTGGAGATCACCTAGCATCTGTCTGCCTTCTCTCTAGACTTGAAAACTGTTGTTTGGCTTCAATTGTGGGCTCCAAGGAGTTCTAAAGGGCAGGCTGAACTTGGATAAATTGTTTAACCTCTGTGAATCCCAGGGTACTCCCGTAAACATGTGAGTCATCTGTTTTACCTCATGGAGTCTTCATCAGTAAATCCATGAGATGTGGGGTGTACAGGCACATAGAACAGGGCCCAGGCACAGAATGGATGTCCATGAAACATCACCAGCTTCTTCTGCACACAAGAAACCCCACCACTGGGTCTGGGGATGTAACTCAGCTGCATAAGCGCCTGCCTTGCAAGTGCACAGTTGTGAGTTCGATCCCCGGTACCAAAAGAAAGAAGGAAGGAAAGAAGGAAGGAAGGAAGGAAAGAAGGAAGGAAGGAAGGAAGGAAGGAAGGAAGGAAGGAAGGAAGGAAGAAAGAAAGAAAGAAAGAAAGAAAGAAAGAAAGAAAGAAAGAAAGAAAGAAAGAAACCCCGCCATTCTCCCATTTCTTTCCAGAACAGTAGTTCCTTTGGCCAAATTTTATGGATCACTCTGAGAACTAGAGATGTACACCATGGCTTCCCTCAATAAAATAGAGGAGCGGGGAGGTTTGGGGTCCTCTCCATGTTAAGAAAAGAACAGAGATGGCAGAATGTCCTCCATTCTGCCCAGAGGCAAAGCCTTCACTCCTGCTCCAACTTTGATTCCCCAGAGGAGGCACCCAGCTCTTCCCATTTTTCAACATCCCAGAAGGCCTGCTTTTCTCTTACAGCCTGGCAATCTACTACCTGAACTCGGTTTCCAAAAGTCTTTCCAGAGCCAATGCCCAGCTGAGGAAGAAAATTCAAGCAGTAAGTTTGTCAGGAGTTTCATCCTGGAGGGTGAGAAACTGTCATGATTTGGGGTACTGTATTTTGTTTTGTTTTGTTTCTAATTTTCCTCTGTGATCCCATTACATTATCTCAATGGTATTCTTCTAAATCAAACTCAAATACATGTATTATAGAAAATACCCTTGGGAGATTCATCTCTATGCATTTGTGAGATTATTTGAGGGTATATAACAATAATGATAATTTTAAAATTTTTCAACAGCTTGTTTTTGATTTTGTTTTGTGCCAGGAATCAAACTCCTAACCTTGTGCTTGCCAGGCAGGCGCTTGTGCCGCTGAGCTAAATCCCTGGCCCAATAATGATAATTTTTAAGAGATGGCTAAAGAAGATGAGAAAGTAGGTTCAACAAATGCTTTATACAGCTTAAGACTTATAAGTGTCTGAAAATGTAATCATTGTTGAGCACATGCTTAGCATTCATGAGACTCTAGATTCAACCTCTGGGATCCTAGTATAAATATTAGAATAAATATTGTCAAGTTGGGCATAGTAGTGCATACCTATAATCTCAGCACTCTAGAAGTCTGAGTTCAAGCCCAGGCTGAGAAACATAGCAATTTAGTGGGACCCTGTCTCAAAATAAAAAGTACTGGGACTGTAGCTCAGTGCAAAGGCTCTGAGTTTAATCCCCACTACTGGAAACTAGTAGTAATAATGATGGTGATAAATTTAAAAATAAAAGAAACACTGTGGAGACATATTGCTGTGTGCCCCCTGGTATTAGAGGACTCCTGACTGGCTCAGGGGCAGCCTCCCTCAACACGCCGCCAGCTGACAGCCCCACTTCTGACGGCTCTCTGCCATTACACACGCAAACCCTGACGCTCAGGTCTGCCTTCTCCGAGCTCTGCCCTCTTTGTTCCCTCTTTCTTCTGGAACTACTTTAATCTGTCTTGCTGCTGGTTCCCCACTGTAATTCCTTCTGTTAACTTCACTGGGCTTCTGCCCAGACATAGAAAACCATCAAAACGGTGGGTGAGCTGTTCCTTTGAATGCTGTAAGATCTGGGGCCTTGGAATATGCTCTCTAATTAGTTGTGAGAAACAATGACAGATGGTTGAAATTAATCAGCAAGCACTGAAAACACAGTCCTGCTCTCCATTTCTCACCATCACATCAGACACCCACGTCTGTGGCTGCAACCAGCAGTTCATTTTTTCCTGCAGCTCCGTGAAGTTGAGAAGAACCACAAATCTATCAAAAACAGAGCCACAGATTCAGGGGAGACACCTAAAAGCAGCTCCAACAGTGCCACCCAGCTGCAAATCACCAAGGCAGGTAAATTCTTTTCCATGACAAGGTATAAAGAATGTGTGATGTGAGATCAGGCTGGTTTGATATTGACATCAGAATATTGACAATTGTTAGCTGGATGAGGCTGAGCAAGTTCGTATGGAGTAATTACAACACCTACCCCATGAGGATAGGTGATCGTGAGGATAGAGGGGCCTGAACAGGTAAAACGCTTAACAGAATTCCTAACACAGAGGACAAGCCAATGAATCCCAGCTGGTTGAAGTGGTCTGCATCCTGTAGAAAAGAGAAACACTGTATATCTAGACCAAAAGGGTAAGAAAAGACCACATAGAAATTTCCTGAAACAGCTGGGGGTTTAACTCAGTGGCATAAGTGCCTGCTTGGCAAACTTGAGGTCATGAGTTTGATCCCTGGTACAAAAAAAAAAAAAAAAAAAGAACAAAGTTCCTGAAACAGCTAGGTTTGGTGTCACACACCCATAATCCCAGCACTCAAAAGGTTAAGGCACGAGGATCACCATGAGTTAAAGGCTAACCTGACTTATTGAAATTCAGTCTCAAAAAAATTTTTTTTTAATTTCTGAAGTTCTGAAAGTGACTGAGTGCCACAGGGCTTTGAAGGAGATGATCACAGCAGAAGGGCTCCAACTGGAGCATGAGGAAAGGTCAAGCTGAAAGAGGCCATCTCTGAGGTGACACTATTTTCCTAGCATTGTCTCTGTTTTAAACAGCGTTAGTTTGTAGTAATGTTGGCCTTGGATGTGAGAACTGAAGGAGACGCACAAGAAATGACCAATATCTTAGGAATTAGAAAATTTTTATTTATAGGTGTTCCAATTTCTCATCAATTGCATTTTAATGTATTCTTTATTATTTTTTAAGTATTAGCCAGAATGATTCAAGCAGCTGCAAACAGACCCAAAATGGCTAATGGCCTGAACACTTTAAAATTTGCATTTCACTCAGCATAAATTCCAAATTAAATGTTTCCACTTGGTGACCACAGTGGCAATGTGGGGATGCTGACTCCTTCTACCCCAGGGCCCTGCCTGCAGGGCAGCTCCTGCAAGGGAAGGAGCCTAGAGGACACAGGGAAGTGGTACACATCCAGTGCCATGATTCTGTCACAGGCTCACCCATAACAAGGGACATGTAGTTCATTTCTGTGTCCCAAAAGAATAGAAGCTGAGTTTGGTGACGTGCAGGCCAATCACTGCCTTTGACTCAGAGTTAGAGGAAGGGAAGAGACAAGCAAGTGAGAGCTGGATTATGTATATGATTCCAAAAGCTGCACAACCAAAAGAACAAAAAGAAAAAAAAAAACTGTTGCACAACCTCTTCCCTCGCTCCCTCCTATATGACCCTACCTGGTCACACTGCGAGGCTGCTGTTCTTTTGTTCCTATTTCACACCCTAGAAAACCTAGGGTACAAGCTCTACTCAAAATCTAGCTCTCAGGCAGCAGGCCATACTCCTCCAACAGACCTGGCCCCTCAGCCAGATGCGAGGGGAGGTAGCCCCAAACCCCAGAAGGCAACCTGACATCTCTAACACACCACCAAATGAGAATAAAATCTACAAACAGCACTGGGTAGCTTTAGGTAGCTGTTCTAATTCAAACTGTACAAAATCTTCACCATATTCTTGTCTTTGTTTTTCAGAACCCACCTCTCATTCTGCTGGCCAAACCCAAACCCTGGACAAGAAGGCACAGGATCCTGGGACCTCTGGTCCTGCCAGTGGGATGCGGCTACCTGCCTCCCAGCTCCCCCCTGGATCTCAGCCTCTGGAAGTCAGACCTGATTCCAGCAAACCCCAGGTTCAGACTCATCCCTGGAGGTCAGCCCCTGGAAAGAGTACTCAGAGGCCCCCCCACTGACAGCTGGACTCAGAGGAGCCATAATCCAGGGTCTGATTCTTGGTCCCTGCCGTTTCACATATTCCCAGACTGGTGTCCTTTTTCGGATCACGCACACATGCATATTCTCTCTCATTTAATGGTGGAACTGTGCTTACTTCCTGTCAGGCTTTTGCTGGCAATCAAGAGGACAGTGTTTTGGAGACCTGGAGCCTTCCCTGGACTGTCCTCAGTATCTTGATTTGGGGACCACTGGACCTCACACGCTAGTGACTTCCCTGGGCTCGAGGCTTAGGGAGGAGGGATGGGGCCATAACCACCCTCATAGAGGTTTTTCATGATGCATATATTAGGATTCAGATTTCTGCAGCTCTATTAACTTGAAGGAAGATGCAGAAGGATCTACATTTCTGACCACCAACTCTAACAAAAAAAGGTAAAGTGGCTTACACAAAAAGTCCAAGAAGAAAATGAAAATAAAGGTAAATGATCCAGAGTTCAGTCACAGTAAGAAGACTGGAAATAACCCTAGCACCTAGCCTGAAGAAACCTGGTTCCAATTAAACACACAAAAAATGCAATGAATGGTTTCTTTGGAAAATTTTCACAGGGTACAATACAGAGGCTTTCTCTGCTAATACATCATGTTTCTACAAAGAATGTCTCCTGATAGGTATTTTTTGTTTGTTTGTTTGTTTTTTTGTCTTTTTCATTTTTATCAGTACCGGGGATTGAACTCATGACCGCCTGCTTACAAGGCAGGTACTTATGCCGCTGAGCTAAATCCCCAGCCCCTTCCTGATAGGTATTAAACCAAGGAGGCCAGACTAGCAAGAATGCTGTGCCTGCAGGAGTCACTGCTCCTGGTGGGAGTCATGGTCTAGGACTCTCCAACACCTCCAGCTCTCTTGCAGACAGGTCCTTCCTTTCATCTACTCTGTGCTCCCAGATACAGGTGAGTTGCATGATGTCAAAAGCAAAGGACCATCTCACTCCATGTCCCTGAGTGTTCCAAAGGGAGTCTTCTCCCTCAGCCAGACACCTCTACTGTTAACCCTGCCAGGTCACCAAGAGTTCTCAGGGAAGTCCCCTACACCCTGGAAGTCATAAGCTGTAAACACCATTAAAATACTTTCCAAGTTCCCACTATTCCTTCCTCTTCCCCATTGAGAGCCAAAATTCCACAAGCAATCTGCGTCAGAGTGAGAATGGGACCCTGTGACTGGGAGAATCAGGATAAATTCCTTTCCCTAGTCCATCTCCAGGCCAGGCTGAAGATGATGCATGTGGTGATGCCTCATTTGCATGGGACTCACAGGCAGCCACGAAATCTAACAATCCCTGTGCTAGGCTCCTTCTGAGAGATGGCACCCTGGCCACAAACTTACTTCCTGGAGACCTCAACACTGGAATCCAGGATAATCCAACCAATCAGCCCTGGAAGCCCCAAAGTCAGATGCCATGCTAACACCTGGCCCTCAGTGTCATCTTGCATGGGGATCTCAGTCCGTGAGGAAGGGAACAAACATGAGGTACCTTCCTGAGCCAATCAAACTCTCAGTGATTATTCTACTAGTTACCAGTAAATACCTACTACAGATACAAATAAATCACCTGCTTAACAAAGCATAATTTTATTTGTGGAGATATATTTGATTTTTGCTTGTTCGTTTTTGTTTAATTATTTAAACCCATTTTATTTTACCGTTTTCTTTTTTATTTTAAAAAGAATAAAACCAAGCAAAACAAAACAGTGAAAGTGACACAGTACTTCAAAACAAGATAATAGGAAATCAACAGTGGTTACCACAATGACTCTTGTTGTCTTCCAATAGCTGCCCATACCTTCAGACATAGTAAAAATCAAACAAAACAGAACAGAATACACCAATAAAAACAATGAGCTCAATAAAGGACTTTAAAACAAGACAATAGTAAATCCAAATGGCTACCATACTATATTATGCTATTTTTGTTTTTTTATTGTTTGTTTGTTTTTGTCTTTTTGAGACAGGGTCTCACTATGCAGTTCAGGCTGGCCTTGAGCTCACTTTGTAGGCCAGAGTGGTCTCAAACTCACAACAATCCTCCTGCCTCAGCCTCCTGAGTGCTGGGATTATAGGCATGAGCCACCACGTCCGGCTTATCTTGCTATCTTTGAAACAGCTGCCCATTCCATCGGAAATAACAAAATCAGACAAAACAAAACAGAATAAAACCCAACCCAACAAAACAATGAAAATGATACAGGACTTCAAAACAAGATAGTAGGGAATTCATAATGGCTACCTCCCTCAGAAGGAGATCCCTCAGAGATGCCACACTGTGTATTGTCATCCTCTGAATAGAAACACAAGCCACAGTAGCCTGTTCTATGTCTGGAGAAAGAAAGGATGGAGGGTTTTATCGGGGCAGAAAGGCTAAGCAGTTTATTTGGAAAGTTCTTTTGGTTATTGCAGGAGCTGGCAAAGTCATTGGCAAACAGCAGCAGTCACTATGTAAAGCTGGACTTACAGTCATAACTGGTAGTTCTATCATCAGTTGCTAAGTAAAAACAGCCCTAAAGATAAAGTAGGATGCTTCACTGGCTTGATTCTGTGAGAATCTCTGGAGCAGGCACCCATGAACTGTTTCCTTTTCTTTCTCCTAGCTTGATTCAATCCTAATAACTAATAGTTCAATTTCCACAGAGCTGTCAGGTGTGGTGGTACACATCTGTAACCCTAGTACTTGGGACGCTGAGGCAGAAGGATTGTTGCAAGTTTAAGACCAGCATGGGCTACTAAGTGAGCTCAAGGGCAAACTGAACTGCATAGTGAGATCTTGTCTCAAAAAGACAAAAAAAAAAAAAAAAAAAACAGGGATAAAGCTCAGTGTCACAAAGCCTGCCTGGCAAGTGCAAGGTCCTGAGTTCAATTCTCAGTACCCCCCCCCAAAAAAAATCTCCACAAATCCTCATATTACATAGAATCACATATGATGCAGCTAGATATGTTTGGTGAAGATCAAGGGCAGCACCTAGTTCCCTTCTGCCTTGTGTACTCATAGAAACCAGGGACAGACATGCCACAAGAGAATTTGGGCAGGGTACCAACAGCATCAGTGACCCTCAACTCAACAGGCACTGCAGACATGCTCTGAAGTGTATATCCAGCCCTCCCAGAGTTAGGGCATCAAGTTCCTCTTGCTCCACAAGAAACTTTAAGAAATAATCCTCCCATGCAGCAGAGGACATTTACCTCTTGACACCAGCAGAAAGTAGAGAAACCCATAAGGCAGCCCTCACGCCAAGCACCTAAACTCCCATATTAACTGTATTCCAAAAATTCAAATGGAAATTTAAATTCAGAGTGGTTCTAGGTTGATGGACTCTCTAAGAGAAAGAAAGAGGGAAATTAATAAAAGCACAGCGCATGTACAGCATGTAAGCTGATAAAGATATATCAGGAATCAAAGTAAATGCAAATGGACTAAAGTCTCCAGGTAAAAAGTGAAGACTGTCTGATGAATATTTTTAAATCCCATGTGCTACCTGGGTGTGATGCTACATACTTGTAATCCCAGCATCTGGGAGACTGAGGCAGGAGAATCAAAATTTTCAGCCCATCTTGGTTGATTTTGTGACAGAGTAAGACCATGTCTCAAAATAAAAACTAAGGGGCGCAGGGGAAGTAGCTCAGTATGAAAGCCCTGCCAACATTTCAGCAGGAAGTGGTGGCATACACCCATAATCCCAGCACTCAAGAGGCTGAGACTGGAGGATTGCTGTTGAGTTGGAGGCCAGCCTTGGTTCCAGAATGAGTTAAGGCTAGCCTGAAATACATAGCAAAAACCTGTCTAAAATTTTTTTTAAAAACTTTAAAAAGAAAGCCAACTTCAATAAATTTTTAAAACCTAAGGATGGTAGAAACTTTTTCCCTTTTGGTTCCTAGAAAATAAAATCCAAAATATATTATTTGAGGGAAAAATCAAGTGTGTACATGTCATTAGCTATCCTAAGTTAGCCTTGCTTTTGAGTGCTAAAGATCGTTACTAAAAACACAGCCATGTGCAAGTCATGTCAGACAATGTATCTTTCAGTGCAATATTAGTTTGGAAAATGTGTACAAAGGTCCAAGGCCATAGCTAGGAAAGAAAATGTACATAAAACACTGAGATATTTCTATTACTGAACCACAACTCAACCTCTTAATTGCGTTGTAAAGATGCCTGTAAGACTACTTCTGCTAAGTGCTCAGTAAATAACAGATCGTGCCACAGGCATGGTGAGATCTAGCCTCAGGACAAACACAAATTACTAACTGAGCAAAGCATGGCATAATCCTAATGATCAGCTGGGCCTTAAAAGCTGCCAGGTCATCATTGCAAAACAGACAAGGATCAACCCCTGCAAGCTCCCTCATCTTTTGTGTCCATGTAAAGAAATGTTTTTCATACATGTTACTCATCACCAAAGAATACCGTGGAGCATCTCTGATTGTTCGGTTTTTTTGTTTGTTGTTTGTTGTAGACAGGTATTGCTGCATAGTTCAGGCTGGCCTTGAACTCACTATGTATCCCAGGCAGGCCTCAAACTCATGGCAATCCTCCTGCCTCAGCCTCCCGAGAGCTAAGATTACAAGCATGTGCCACCATGATTGGCTCTAGAGTGTCTTTGAGAAAAGAGCTCAGAAATTGCTAGAAGCCTTTTCAAATTTGATGTGAAGAGTTTCTCCCTGGGGAAATGTGGAAAGTGTCTCCATCTTGTGGTGATTTTAAATTGCACATTCTACTTCATAGGTCCCCTTTGGTGCTGCCTGCAGAGAAATTTCTCTTCATTTCTACATAAAAAACAAACCGATTAGCTGGGCGTGGTGGCTCAGGCTGAGGCAGGAGGATCGTTGTGAGTTCGAGACCAGCCTGGACTACAAAGTGAGCTTCAGGCCAGCCTGAACTGCATAGCAAGACCCTGTCTCAAAAAGACAAAAAAAAAAAAAAAAAAATTGATTAGCTATAGGCTAAGCTAAATGAAAACTGAGTCCTCTTAGTGGGTGAACAACGTTATCTACCCAGAAAAAACAAAGGCCCCGGTGCCACCTGGCTTTAAACTTAACATAAAGCACACCAAGGAAAACCAGAGGCTCTACAAAGAGCTGCTGTCCATGCAGGACACTTTCACAGCAGACCCGCTGGGCAATCTGTCTTGTCCATCAGTCACTTCCAAATTAATCTCTAATTGAATTGCTGGATGGAGAATCACAAATCTCATCAACTCCAAACCAGTCATCCTGGTTTTCTTTCAAAGCCTCATGGTCTGGATCTTAACATTCTAAATACTGCCGTATGTTGTCTCTACTGAGCAGGCTCAATGTTACATCCATCACATTCTTCTCAGGTTTCTGCCTTATGGAAACTCTTCTCACCTTCCGTTTTTAGGTGCCCTGCACACTGTTCTCTGAACACCTCAATCCCTTCTAGCTGCAAAGTCAACACCAAGGCAGGGACACTAAGCCAGTCAGCCTCCATGCCACTGCCTCTGAGCCCTAGATTCCAGTCAGTCTCCTACAACTGCAGTCTCTCAAGTCAGAGACCAGGGTTAGGGTTACCCATGTTTTCATTATTCTCTCGGATGTCTTAGGGCTCACTGTTTATTTAAATGTCCTCTCTTCATTGAGGACCACTGTAAACCAATATACTTAACACATACACATACTTCATGTGTTACATATTTACTTGATTTTTCT